CAGGCGATCACCCGTGCGCTCCAAAATGGTCTTCTCCAGATCTAATTCAAACGGCGAATTTTTCAGTCAGAACTTGGAAACCGCTGCAGCAAACACACAACTTGGAACTGCATGGGAAAGCTCCCGAGAAGTTGTGCTCAGATTGCTTGAGGTCTGATCCGATCGTGTGCCAAAGGTCTGCCCTAAGCTCGACAGCTCGCCGACCCGGCCAGACTACGATTTCTTTGGCCTTCCCTCAGGGCCTATGTCCCCATATAGTATATACTTGGGCCTTAAAGGGGTTCTCATACAGTAGCTTTAGGGGCCAAGTATATATATATATATATTTATATCACGTAGGTCTTAGGGCTTGTAGAGCCGGTCTCACAACGCAATGCTTGCAGAGCGCGGAGCTTCCCCCACTCCGGCGGTGGCGGACGAGAGGCTGCCAGTCATTGAGCCCACGCCTACGTACCACCCCCTCTACCCCCCGACAAAAAGCCTTCGAACTGTGATAGCATCTAGGTTATATTTGCAAAGTAAGGTGCTGTGAAGTTGAGAGGGTATCTTGATGGTGCTCAGGGGGCATGCCGCAGCAGATTCGTGGACGTTTCGTGGACACGGTGAAGATTCGATGGCTTGATGAACCCAGACACTGGTTTAGGGCATTTAGGGTTTAGGGATGTTTAGGGTTTAGGTTCCCGAGTCTTCCGGTTATCAACACGTCTGTAAGGCGCCTGTGGCTTCTCAACACCGAGCTGGCAAAGTCGTCCGGCAGCAGAAGGGGCAACCACTTGTCTGTAGCGGCACTTCAGTTTGGGAGAAGACATGCTTGGTTTCTTGGTTTGGATTAGGTTTCGTTTTGAGTCGGGTCAAGACTGATTATCGGTTTAGGGTTTAGGGCGTTTAGGGTTTAGGGTTTAGGGTTATTTAGGGTTTAGGGCATCGTCAGGGAAGTGGCGTTTAAGGTCACTTGGCCGAGCTGTGCTTCTTTCCGGGTGGCACACATTCGCATTACACCATCGGCTGCGGCGACTTTTGGGGGATTCAAGGGGTCACTAACACTAGCGTAGTCGGACTGCAGGACTTAACCATGAATCAATTCGCTGCTTTCTCAAACTCAGGACCTTGGGGTGCTGGTAGCCCGGATTCGCGCAGGGTGCAGGGCGGGAGTATTTAGTGTTTGGAAAGAGGCCATCCAGAGTCTCGAAAGTGGTCTTCTCGCCCAAGCCCCAACCTGCTCAGCGTAGATCAGCTGCGATACGATCTTGGAATACGTCTAGGGTCGAAGGCTTATGCTTTCTATATACCGATTTGACGTTAAGCCGGCATCTAGAGTTTAGGGAGAACTGGGGCCTGGACTAAGGCACCTTAAAACACTCAAAGCCCCGAGATCCCGTGTTAGGCACGCACGCGCGTCGTGCTGGGCCGATGCGTTGCGGCTGCTCCGCGCGCAGCGGGGGCCCTTTTAAAGGGAGGAGTTGGGGGGAAGTGGGTCTTGAGTCCCGTGTTTCTGGGACTCTATTTACCTGCAGTTTAGAAGTAACCACCCTTAATTCGTAGGCCTATAAAACTGCAGGTAAAGAGAGTTCCTGGTAGAGCTTCCAATTTCAACAGCTTGTTGTGAAAGTGCGCTTGCGTGACATGGGCTTCAGTTCCAAGCTTCGAACCTAAATCCTTGACACTTTCTTAGGTAGGATATGGGAGACCCTTAAAAGGTAACCCTTCTGAACCCTCTTCTGGCCCTCTTAAAAAGGGACCTTACTTAGAGGGTCTTTATCCCCAAGGGTCCACTTAATCCCATCCCCCAGAGACTTAGCTCACCCTTTCCGCTCAGGTCTTCGCATGTCCAGCCCGATATCATATCGATCGGATCTGCCTCTTTGTTTGCAGCTCGTGGTGTAGGAGCTTCGGGATCTCTGGGGGGGCATTCGCTGGCTACTACAGGTACTACAGTTGCGAGACTGTAGGCGACGTGCCCGAGCCCGGCACTGGCGCAGTCGTCGAACAACTTCCCCATGTAGACAGAGGAAACACATGTTGAGAGCGTGCATATTGTGTAGGATCTTTGTACTTGCGAAGACCTCTGCATATGGTGGCATGGGGGGTCTGGCTCATTCAGGTGATAAACGCACTGGGGAAGGCCCTCCGCTGGAGGCTTTGCTTGTTGCATCTGAGCCTGGGTCGCAAGGTATCCTGCGCTTCTAGCATATAAGGGCTTTTGGTGCTCCAAGCCGGATTTCCTGAGGAGCCAGGCCAGTTCCGAAGCTTTGACTCCAAACACCATCGTGGCAACTTGGCTGAAGCTCTCAGCAGGTCGAGCCAGGGAAAGAGTTCCGTGCTTGGAGCATGGCGCTTTCCACTGTCCCACTTAAACGGCTTAAAGACACACCAGGGTTTATTGAGGGGCGCCTTGCTGGCTTGCCTTGCGTGAAACAGTGCGTCAACACTAAGGAGTTCCAAGACTCTAAGAGGAGCTAGATCGGTGTAAGCGTTGGCTCTCATTTGGACAAAAATCGTGCTCTCGCCTAGGCGCACGCGTGGCCGCGGATCCAATCCTCGAGACTGTCGTCGCTTTTGGCTCGCGAATTGCGAAACTGTCGTCGCTTTTGGATGTGTGGGCTCATGAAGTGTAGTCCTTGGAGTGTTCTGGATGAGTTCTTCAAGTGCTCTGGGACCTCTTGGGGTCTTCTTGGAGTGAGAATAGAATGCTGTTTGGAGCGCTTGGAATGCTCTCGGTGTATTGTGGACGTGCTCAGGGACCATTGCTCTTTTGTTTCCCCACAGTCTCTCAGTGCTCTTGCTCTGCCCCAATTCACACCATAGGCCCATATAGCTCACAGTTCTTTCAGCACTTTGCCAGCCAGACGTTTTGAGCAGAATGGAGTTCATGTTGACTCCTGGAGACTAGGAGAGAAGCAGGCTTTCCAGAATCAGCTGTTTGCTTCGGAATCCGGTTTTCCGTGCCAGGGTGGAGGAGACACTTTGGGGGTGCAGTTTTGGGGTGCAGCTTTGCCCTACACAGGCAAACGCCGCAATCTCCTGCTGTGCCTGGGCTGGAGTTATCGACATGAGACCCGGGTAACCCCATGGAAATCATGCCGCTGGCGCTGACATCCGAAAAGATAGATCGGATTGAGGACTCCCAGTCGCAGGAGGGGGGGCACACACGGTTGAAAGCCAACCCAGGTGGGCAAAGTTCCAGATGGCAAGTGGCAGCCGCACTCTTCGGCGGTGGCCTTCCGCACCTCAAGCGGGACTCTTCGTGGCATGAGCCACCCTCTATAATGGATAATGAATGGTGCGTAACATGTTCATGGCTGCCGCACTATGTATGTCAACAAGACGAATCCCAGGACGTTGTTTCGGCCAACGCGTTGACAACCGCATGAGCCTTGGAATGCATTCATTGCCGTTTAGTACTACTCGTCGTCGTCGTTGTGGCCGCCGTCGTCGTCGTCTGCTTGAAGGCTCACAGATGCCCGAATAAGACCTACAACCCCTTGACAACCCCTATCCATCACCTCAGAAGCCTACACAACTCCTAAGCAATTGAGCCCAAATCCTAAACCCTCCTAAGTTTGTAGGCAGTCTTGGGTTCCAGGCTTGTTCAACGCACCTTGTGGTTCCAAGACCAGCGTTCAAGCCGCTGGCGTTCGTCCTGCGGCGCGCTCTCGCTGCTGCCGGCCTTGGCCATTCTTCCAGACACGGTGGCCTGACTCGAGAGATGATCTCCAGCCTTCGAGCTCGGAAACCCTTCAGGTATCCTAGTATCCTATACTATACACCTCTCGGGGGCTGGAGGTGCTTGCTTGACAGTGGGGTTCTTAGTTTTTTGTCATTCGCTGGCCACCACAGATATAGCCACTATGTTTGGCAGATTTTGGCAGGACAAAGGCCTGCTTGTGCCGAAGCTGCCTTGAAGTGCCAAGCTAAGCCGCACACCGTATTTTCGCTTTCAGATTTCCAGCTTCACCGAATCAATCATTTCCAGTCCGTATAGGGAAGACACATGTTCTTGTTATCCCCCTAAATGTCGATGTACCTAAATGAGGTATACTTGGGCCTTTTAAAGTACTTGCTGTGTATGGTCTTGGGGGCCCAAGGTAGATAATCATGAGGTATATGGACCCTTAGGGTCCTCTCCGCTAGCACAGCAGGTGACGCACAATGCTGCGCTTGCGTCCCTTTCAACGGGCGAGTGGCGGCGGACAGGGAGCTTGCTTGGTAAGATGGCCGAGGAGTCTCTGCAGCGGACGGCTCCTGGACATGAATCTAAGTTTCGGAGGTTCCCCCCTTATACTAGCAGTCGTTAATCGGGATGATTCTATAATCCCAATTATAAAGGCTGTTCAGTATAAGGGGGAACATCCCAAATGCAAGTTGCCATTGCTGGGGCATGAGAATTCATGAATCATGAGCTCGCACAATGCCAGGCTTGTAGAACCTGCTTTGTATGGCACACCTTCCACAGATGCGTTGGCAGGTATGCACTATCATGCATGTGAGATACACAGGCCCGACATCGCGGTGAAGCTGAGGTGGTCAGTCTCGGAACGCTGGTCTCCCTCCATGGCGACTCATCCCGGTGGCCAGCAGCCCTTACCTTTGCAGCTCAGGTGGCGGAGTGTGCTGTGCAGGTGGGCGCCCCAAACGTAGGGGCTCCAAGCAGCCCAAAGCTGGTCTTCTTTTGTGAAGTAGGCATGTCTTCGATGTGTTTTGTATACTTGGAATCCTAGAAGAGAATAGCATCGCGCTCTGTCCCTCTCCATAGCATCGCACTTTGTCCGTCTCGGTTTCGTGGTGCATCTAGGGTTTTGCATCTTGTCCTCCAGCTCGGGTCGCGCGGGCACGTGGCAAACAAGTCCTTGTGCCGTTCAATGAGCTCTCGGATTGCCAGCTACCTCATGTTGTTGCCCTGAGATAAGCACGGCCATCTGCAATGCCGCGCTCAGCGCCTGTGAGGAAGGACCGAATCTGACAGAATGCCAGCTGAGAACCGGCTAGGGTCACCTTGGAGGATGTGCCTGGGCGCGCTCGATGAGCCTGCTGTCTGTGTTTGGGCTGTTCCTCGGCCGCAGGCATGTATAGAGGTGGGTTTCTTTGCTACTGTTCATCCTTCGGCATCGAAAGCGGAAAGCGGGTTCTGCAGATCCCTAGCCAAGCTGCTGGTGCGCAGTCCAAAGTTGGCTGAATAGGCAAACTTGCATATACCCTACAGACATGCAAAATGCACACCCATGCACATGTACATGCGTAGAAAGCACCCCCTCTCTCTATGTCGTTGAACACACGTGGAAATGAGGCTGTTCAAGGTCCTCACTAGACCCACATGCATTGGGGCTAGGGAGGGGGCAGTGGAAGCATGGTACTGCGTGCCTGGCTGGATGGCTTGTAGATCCCACCTCAACATCGCGTGGTGACTTTCCTGGTTTGAAACTAGGACTCGCTCCAAAAAAAGAAGTAGATCGGAGCCTTCACGTATAACCCTAAAACCCAAAACCTCTCTAAAAAACCCTAAACCCCTCAAAACCCTAAGCCCAGAAAACCTAAACCCCTAAAAACCCTAAACCCCCAAAACCCTAAACCCCTTAAAACCCTACCCTAAACCCCCAAAAGCCTAAACCCGTCAAAACCCTAAACCCCTCAAAACCCTAAACCCCCTAAAACCCTGATAACTAAACCCTTATAAACCCTAAACCCTAAACCCCCAAAACCCTGATAACTAAACCCTTATAAACCCTAAACCCTAAACCCCCCAAAACCCTGATAACTAAACCCTTATAAGCCCTAAACCCTAATAACTAAACCCTTATAAACCCTAAACCCTAAAGCCCCAAAACCCTGATAACTAAACCCTTATAAACCCTAAACCCTAAACCCAAAACCCCCAAAACCCTGAGGCTCTGCCGACCGAACCTGATCTCCCTGGCGGCGCTGAGCAGTGCGCATGGAAAGGCACCTTTGGGAGTCGGGCTTCCAGGGGTTTAGGGTTTAGGGTTTAGGGTTTAGGGGTTTAGGGTTTAGGGTTTAGGGGTTTAGGGTTTAGGGTTTAGGGGTTTACGGTCTAATTAGGGTGTGGGGTTTGGGGGTTTAGGGTTTAGGGTTTAGGGACCCGCACGAGAGCTCACGACCACGCAGTTAGAGAATACACCAATGTGATGTCACTACGGGTTGGCCCAACCCCAAAATGGTGGCACACGAGATACATCCAGAAGGCTCAACACCAACGGTGACAAAATGCAGTCAGCAAGCCCCCCCCAGACCCTAAACCCTCTACCCTCAGCTGCTAAGCCCTGCAGGGGGGTTGAGCTCCTTTTATGCAACAGGAGAACTCAAGGTTTGTGTTTGGGGCTTAGGGTTTGTCAGCGATGGCTGCAAAAAGGGGGGCGATTGGTAGTTTAAAGGCACGGATGCAACATTTAGGGTTTAGGGTTGGGGGTTTGGGGTTTAGGGTTTAGGGTTTAGGGTTTAGGGTACCACAGGAGCCCTGAAGCAAAAAGGGTTTAGGGTTCAGGGTTTAGTGGAGGGCATGGAGCTGAGTGCCGGTTTCAAAGGTTTAGGGTAGCCAAGGCTACAGCTTGGCAGACCTCCACAGCCATTGTGCACTCGGTGCTCTGGGAGCAGGTGGCCAACTCGGGGCTAGGAGCCGCAAATCCCCAACCCTTTCATACACGCAGCATACTTACTTGCACAATCCGGTATATTCAATTAAATAGCATAACAATATAAAATCCTGAAGTAAATGAACAAATAAAGATATAGACACACACACACACTCAATATTTAGTTAGATATGTTTATACGCACACTCTTTGTTCTAACGTGCCGAAAGCTTCCAACTGTGAGGCCCTCGTGGGACCCCCTCTCCCCGGTAGTGGTTGATTCTTCTTGTGGACAAACCTATGAGCCCGCCCTCCACTCCCCAAAAAGCACAAGTCACAGGCCACTGAAGGTTGCAACAACCAGGTTCCGTGTTGCTTTTCGAGGGGCCTGTGTAACGCTAGTATTCTCGGGTGGTGTGCTGCTTTAGGGGGCCTATAAGCTAGTAATGCAATAGGCCCCTAAATCCATGCTTTTGGCGAGGAGTTCGCGACTCATTCCTCTCTGCAGCCACAGCTCCCTGGCTAGGGTTTATAGGGGATTCAGGGCTTTGCAGGCCAAGCCAAGGCAGCCTTGGCAAAAAAGGGTTCGCACCACTGAAATGCACGAGATGTTGAAGCGCTGTAGCATTGCCATTTAAATCGTCGCCCGCCCCACATTCTCGCCACAAAATCCTTCGATTCCTTCATGCCAGGGTCTCCTTCCGATAGTCCTGAAAGTGCAAAACGACATATACATGTATACTTATATATATATATATATATATAAATACAAACACACGCATATGTATGTATATAGTAAAGATTCGATTGGAAATATAGTGCAATATGACGCAAAAGAATACGCAAATCCGTAGATGCTTATCCCTAATTCCTGATCGTTGCTTTTGGCAACGTCACATTTGGAGCGGATCTGCACAGATCTCGGAAGCTCCGAGGTTGAGGCCCCAAGTTGAAATCTTGGTCATGTGGGGTTAAGGGTTTAGGGTGTTCGAGGCGGGCGAAGTCTATTGGAAAAGGGTGTAGGGTTTAGGGTAAACAAATGGTTTGGGTTATGAACAAAGACAAGACTGTTTATAAACAAAAATGGTTTAGGGTTTATGGTCGTTTAGGGCGGGGTTCAGAGCATTTTTGGGGGCTTCGAGCGGTCCCTGCGGTCGCCGTCTTAGTCTGAGCCCTCCCTCATCCCGGTAATCTCATGAGCCCCGATGTGGCTAATTTTCATACAACTTGGGATGTTCCCCCTTATACTAGCAGCCCTTAGGCATCATAATGGAGGGTTAGGAGAGGCTATGCTCTTCTCTGCAAGCCTCAACACCTCCCCCCCCCCTCCTCCCCACCCACCCACGCACACAACACGAAGAGCAACTTAGGAGCACTACGCCCTGAACAGAAGACACTTTCGAACTTCTGTCTGTAGCCCTACAGAAATCAAGCTCCCAGAAGCCTGCATACTTGCATGTGTGTGTAGTGATATCTGCACAAACTATCCCCGCTCAGAAACTCAAAGGCCTGCTACAACTCGGCGCTGAGTGGTGCCGGGCGTGCCCGGCGCTGGGCTACTTCGCTGTGCCTGACGACGGAGCTCTTGGCCAGGCACGTTGCTCGAGTTAAGGGCACTTGAGAGAGAGACCTCGTTCAAAAAGGTTTTGGCGGGAGCGCCCTGGAGCAAGAAAGGGTTGAGAGGAAAGACTGCTTGCTTTCTCCTTTCTAAGCATTTACGAGGGCACAGGATCAGAGGCGGGGGATTTTAAGTTCCACTGCCTTTTTGTTTCCGGAGCTGAAAAAGAAGCTGGTGCATCTTTCGAGGACTTTGGCCGATATGTTGCAGGATCCTCGCGCTGTCTGCGTGCATGAACTCAGACCTTGACGCCCTAACCCCGAAGAAACTGAACCCAGCCATCTGCGTCCCGGTTCCATGCCCCAGTGCCCAGAGACTCCAAAACCCCTTAATTAAGGTATATCCCTTAAATTATAATAGGAACCCTAATATGATTTAAGGTATATTCCTTAATTAAGGGGTTTTGGAGTCTCTGGGTGAGAAGCTGAGGCGCTTGAGACCGAGAGCCTTGGCTCAGTGGGTATGATTCTCCCGGTTGAAGAACACCTCTTCCTCCCATAAAGCTCCTCCCGAAACTTGGCCAAGAGAAGCTGTAGGTGGGGGATGCCGCGTTTTGTGCCGTCCGACTCCTCAATCTCGCGCTCACTGCTGCATTGTTACGTTTGACAAAGCCGCCAGTCCTAACCTCTCAATTAAACCCTACACTCTTAACCCTTAAACCCTAAACCCTTTTCAGGTATGGATGGCATCCTTCCTTGGACCACTCGGTTTTTGTTGGCTCATGTGAGTTTAGGTGCCATCACCCTCAACTCCCTCGCTGCAGCCTGCGCGTCGAGTGCAGAGGGAGAGGCCGTGGTCTTTTGGAAGCCCCCTGCCCCGCAAGGCAACCTCAAAAGCCCGTGAACCCTTGCTTGACCCTGAGGCGCGCGCCCTTTCGCTGATGGCTCGCCTCAAAGAGACGTACTTGCGAGTGGCTTCTTTGTCACAGCGAAGTTTGGGACTCGAGGTTGAGGGAATGAATTGCGTGTGTTTGGGGGAGACTTTGCCTGTAGGGGATTCTGTGAGGCTTTCTCCAGGGCTATGATCATGACATCTTCCATGAGGGCCCAGCCGATTCCGCATGCACCTAGGGCCATAGACCCAACAGCTCAACGAAGCTTCCCAAAAGTGCTTTTGAAACTTCAAGGCTTCGGGAGATGTGGGGTCGGTTAGACCGAGGACAACTTTTGGTACAACACCTTGATCTCCTCTGCCACGCGACGGCAGGCGTGAGCTTGGACTTTGCAAGTCCAGCCGGGAGTTTCTTTAGGGCCTGTGCAGGCCAAGTGCGCTAGAGTTGTTGGGGTCGGTGTTTCAGGATGCAGAATCGTTGTAGCCGACGTTTAGAGGCTGTGGTTCAGCTTTTGGTTTCCCCGGCTTCTGCGGTTGGGTTGGGGACGAATGTTGTGACAAGCAGGCGGCGACAATGTCCTTAACTCGAAAACACTTTCTCTCTCCACGTGCAGCAACGTAGGTACTGCATGCGTCTGCCAGGAGTGGGCGCGAGGCATGGTGGCGCTGACTCAGCTGCGACAAGGCAGTTGGGAGATCCGGCCCTCACATGTTGCATTAAGGATTCGAGGGTGTTTCCCCTTCCATCGAAAACCTGAAGCCCTAACACCTGTTGGGTGCCTTGCCTGCCATGTGTGAGAGTGTGTGCGAGCACGAGGTTCGAAAACGGTAGCCAGGTATGTATAAACCTGCAAATGTTCCCCCCTTGTACGAACAGTCCTTTCTGGGGATTATAGTAGGGGGGTTGCTAGATTTTTTTCGATGAGGGACTGTTAGAATAAGGGGAAACATCCCAATATAAACCGCTTAAGATCTCGACACGGGAGGAGCACTCAAGCCCGACGCCATCGCTTGCCGCGCCAGTCTCAGCAGCTGCAAGGCCAGCAAATGGGGAGTTTTTTTGGATGCAGAGTCTTTTAGGAGTATGTACACATATATATATATTTAGTTATTTATTGATTTATTTATCTGTTTATTGATTTATTTATTTACAATATAAATGAGCATTCATACACACACATATGTATATATACATATATATATATATACATATATAATCTCGGATGCAGTATAGGATAGTTCCCCAGCAGGGATTTCATGCATTGTCGTTGCGCATGTTGAGGATGTCTTGCTGAGCATGCTGCATCGTCAATGAATTTACTCGGCTTGACCAAGTCTGCTTTTGCTCCCTGACGACTCCAACGGTTTCCTCTATGACTGCCTCATCTCTTGTCGCTGCTTTGTACATGATGTGGAACGAAGCACGTGGCCAGGTGCGCCAAAGTTGGCCGGCAGCCATCTCTCTGATGTCTGCTTTTGCATCTGGGCCGAAGTTCAAATCATCCGTCCATTCATCAGCTCTCAGGGCTAAGCCGGCTAAGCTTTGCCCGGTGGGTTTGTGACTAAGGGGATCTAGCATTGTAGGAGTGGACCTCGAACCTTGATTTTTGGCAGCTGCCCAAAACACACCGGGATGTGGCTTTCCCGGGCAGTCTCATCCCTCAGTGCTCCGGCCCACTGTCCTCATGGCTTCTGGACTCACCACGCAAGGTGCATTCGGACGATGGGCCGGACAGCCACCTGGCAAAAGGCTGACTTGTCGCCAGCGTGGAGCAGCATCGGTGACTTCAAAGACATGTCCGACCCACGCGGAGGACGGGTTACCCTCTTCCGGAAGGATGGGGCCGACGGTAATGTAAGGATATGGCACAGTGTCTACGGAGCGATGCCTGTATCAGGGAAGCTGACAACTCGTCAGGGAAGCCAGCTTCTCTCCATCAACGAGAAGCGTGGGCGTGTCACACCAGAAGGCATCATGTTCGACGGTGGGTTGCTGATGCCGAGACTTTCACTGGGCGATGCTCGAAGGCTCTGCTCAGGAACTGACAGCTCAGGTACGAGCAAAGCTACATGCAGTCGCGATCTTGGGCGATGCAGCCTTCAAGAAGAGTGTCGTTAAAGACGTGCAGAAAAGTTATCAGGTCCTGCAAGAGCTGTACGAAGCCAAAGTGCTTACCACAGCTGCAGGAAGCAAAGCTCCAGCATGTGCCGGCGCAATCACACAACGGGTGCCACTGGACTGGGCCGAGCTACCAACAAACTCCAAGAAGCCGCACGATCACCCGAAAGGCAAGACCCTCTTGTTTCACAACTGGGGCCCTTTCCTGCTCTCCATTCCCGACCTGTACGAGGAACTACAGTGCTCTCAGCTCTGCGAGGGTGACTTCCCGAGCGTCGCTGACATGCGAGCTTTCGGCTACCTTCACAAGCTTGTGCAGATAGAGAAGAAGAAAAGGGAGGTGTGGCCGCTGCAAAACTTGTTCACAAGATCACACCTCGCGCCTGAATCCTGCATGTCGGGCTATAGTACTAAAGTAGTTGAGCATTTCCGGAAGGGATCTGACGGGGTAGCTCCTGAGGACTCGAAGATCGGAAGTGTAGAGGAGATTGACACCATCATGACTGCGGAAACCCGGCGCACCATCTTTACGGCCTTCAGGAATCCAAGCTCAAAGCTGGCAGATTACATCTGGGAACACCACCGAGAGATGTGGGCAAAGCACCGCTGGAATCGATTGGATGAGCTGGCGCAGTTTCTCGACGAGATTGATGAGGTGGTATGGCCGAAGGTGCGGCGTCAGGCGCCAGGAGAAATTCTGAATCGAATCGAACGAGACATGAAGGAGAGGGCCGCTCGTTTCTTTTCGGAGCGTGAGTTTCTCCACCTTAAACATTTGCCAGCAGCGTGGGCATTGCCTGGGCAGCCAAAGTACGAGCTCCAAGTCCTCAAGTCCCCACATGAAACAGCAGCAGCAGGGCTTAGGCTGCGTAACTGTGCTGCCATCAAGATTGACAGGGTCAGGTTCAAGCTCTCGCAAATTGCTGTGGTCTCTGAGATGAAGACCCAGAAGGTTGTGGGCATGGCTGAATATGTTTACGAATCCGGACGCTGGAGATTGAAGCAGTCATCTGCAGCGGCAAACAAGCCCTTGGCTCAGGAGTTGACAACGCAACTTCGCAAGTTTGGCGCCAAACTCATCCAGCAAGGCATGGTCAGCATCCTGCCAGTCGCCACAAAAGTCAACAACTCTGCCATGGTGTTTGATGAAGTTTATGAGAAGTCCGTGGCTCAGGAGCTCGAGGCTCTCTTTGATTGCACAAACGTTGGCAGGCCTTTACTGTCTGACAGGAGAGAGATTTCCAAGGCCAGTCGGAGGAAAATGGTGCAAAGAACGATGGGGTCAGATTCGGCTACGATTCTGCTGCCGCTTGCAGCAGCGGCTGGAGATGTGGAGCTCGTCAAGCACTTGCAAAGCCAAGGTGCTGATCCAGAGTATGCCGCCACGATGAGATGTGATGGGTCACATGTCACTGGCACAGCTGTGATGCTTGCAGCCCGGCTACGGCAATGGAATGTTGTCAGCACCTTCATTCAAGCTTGCAACGGTGGGGCGAGTCTTGTCATAAAAGACTCTGAAGATGCCTCCATTGTGCAGCTTGCAGTGGATGATCAGAAGCTTGATATTCTGGCCCAGCTTTGTGGCAGGGTGCCAGTCCTTCCCGAAATAGCCAGGCATGGCTCCTCTAGCTTCATTCCGAAATTTATTAAGAAGATGCGAAGCGAGCCGGCGTGTGACATGGACATCGATGAAACAGATCACCATGGCCGATCGGCTTTGATGTGGGCGGTGCGAGGCTGCCACGGGAGCATGGTGGACTTCCTCCTTGATGAGCAAGGATGTTCCCCAAACCGTGAGGACGCCAGAGGGCAAACACCTCTTATGACAGCTTGTGCTGTCGGGAACCAGGAAATAGTGGAGTCCCTTCTGGTGCATAAAGCTGAGGTGAACCCTGGTGATGGCAGAGGCAAGACCCCTTTGACTATTGCATGTGCCAGAGGCAACTGGAAAATCGCAGAGACGGTGTTAGACTTCGACGCCAATGCAAAGGTGGCAGGGAGTTTGCCACTCTCGTTGTGTAAGCGCATTGTCTCTCGGGATGCCAGCGCCAGGAAGCTTGGGCTGAGGCTCCTGGATTCTGGTGCTCAGCCAGATTTCGCAGACAACGAGTTGATCAAGTTGCTGGAGATTTTGTGCTTGCAGCAGGACTGGGAGCTCCTCATCAGGTTGATTGAGAGAAGCGGTTGCCGGTTTCATGCGAAGTTTGACTTCAGGAGTGACAAGACCGCCAGGGCCTTTTCCAGCGCCCTACGAGCTGCATGCAAAGGAGGGAACCCGCGCCTCGCAAAGGCGCTTCTGCAGCTGAATGTTGATGCGACCACACGGGATGCTCAGGAGTATACTGTCCTGATGTCAGCGTCATGGCTTGGGTATCTTGAAATCGTGGAGATGTTATTGAACCATGCAGCAGCTGCCAACACCATCGACGATACTAACGAATTCGGCAGCACCGCCTTAACCCTTGCACTTCTAAATGGACATGTTTCTGTGGCGAAGCTCTTACTAGAAAAAGGAGCCGACGCAAGCAAAGCCTTGAAGTTCTTCAAGTGCCGCTATAAGCGTGCCGCAGCAGAAAAGCTGCTGAAGCAAGTGTCGTGAAAATCCGACTCTCAACTTACACATAAGCTTGATGCGTGCTTTCCTGGGCTGCATGGGAACAGACAGTGCTTTCTGAAGATAATGTCTGCTCAGTGCCTTGCCCAAGCTTTGTAAGCTATCTGACCCCGAACACGTGCAAATCTGCTCAAGCATTGAACGAGTCTAATGCAAGCCCATAGAAGCAGAGGCCCACTACGCGGTGCGGGAGGCAGATGCCACCCGGGGCAGCTTCCTTGAGACTTTTCGTTGATGGCTCGGGGGTTCGGGAGGGCCAGTAGGTTGTTGATGTGCGGAGCGGCGGACATTGGGGGTTCGATGTTGATAAAGGTATATGGTGACTCCTGTTGGATATCTTAGATGCTTAGAAGCTCCCAGGCTTCCGCCACGTACGTTCAGGTTTGCAGATGTTCAGCACAGGACGATGCTCCGGGAAGGTGCGCAAGACCGGTTCCTTCTGTTGTATTCTTTGTGCCCTTTTGCGAAGCCCAATCCCACCAGACAGAACAACATTGCATAGTCATTGCATCATCTTTCAACTTGAAGTACTTTACTTGCCCAGGACTGCTTCGATGATTCCAGCGCTTGGGAAGCCGCTGGGGAGTTGCTCAGGCGATGGGAATTCGAGGGCTGGCTCCCAGTGACTTGCCTGCGACCTCTCTCAGGGCATTTGGGGATGAAGACAGCTTTGCGTTCTGAGTGGCTTTCGGGCTTGCAAACCAAAAGGTAGTGGGGTGCCTCGAAATTACGTGTGCGCTGCTCAATTTTTGCAGCTGTTCCCTTGCGATGGCCTCTCCGAGGATGCTGTGGCTGTCAACTCGGCCCTGGCGACCTGCGCGCGATGGCGGCACTGGCTGCCTGCCTTGAGGCGCCCTGGCTTCGAGTTAGCTACTGTAGCAGCTAGCACATATTGCCACCCAGAAATTCTACGGGCTGGACCTGGGGCAGGTTGAACGGCTGCTGGCCCCGTCAGGGGATTTGGGCACGTCATCAAAATGCTCCGCTCTTCGGTTCGACATGGTCCAGAGCCATCACTACCAATGTCCAGATGTGCTCGTTTTGTCCTGTGTTCCTGATCCCTCTTTTTTGACGCATGCTTCTCGGGTACCATCTCTGACCGCGAGCCTGTGCTGCTACAGCCTCACTCCCCACTCACCAGTCTCCGAAAGCCAGGCACGTGGACGCGCACCGCAGCTGCTGGGATGCGCCTGGTTCCGCACTCGATCTGAGGTTGACCGAGCAGGGGGTTGGTTGAACGCGGCCTTGTCTTAAGTAGGGTCCTGTGGATCGTCGGGAGTAGGGTTCAGTGCTACTCTTCTGATACAGGAGCACCAATATAGACCAACATCATCCCCCTATCGACTTCTATAGTATAGCATCACCAGAAGATAAGCTACCATATAGATCCCTGCAGTTCTGTCACCCCAGGCCGTCACCTGCACCTCGGCCATTGCTGCCTGCGCTGGGCAGCTCTGGCGCCCTGCGACGGGCTCAGGTCCAGCTTCCCCTTTCCATGATGGGTTTAGGGTTTAGGGTTTAGGGTTTAGGGTTTACCTGGAGCCTTCAGATTACGTGAAAAAACAGCCTTTCCATGAAAACAGCCTTTTTCAAGACATGGACCCAAAAACAGCCCGTGGGGCGGAATTTGGCTAGGCAGCCCAAAAAAAGGCTATTTTGAAATTTGTGACGGTGTTCAACTCGAGGACGTTTGCTTGCTACGTGTTCTGCGGATTCTTGCTTGTTGAAGCAACGAAAGCCTGAAGCCACAAGCAGAAACCCTGAATTTGTAAAACTCAAAAAACACGCAAGCCTGAAGCCAAGCCATGAAAGCCTGAAGGAAAAGGCGGAAATGGCCGGAAAAAAGGCGGAATTAGCCGGAAAAAGGCGGAATTTGCCGGAATTCGTTTCTTGTCTCGCTGAAACAGCCGAGAACCCTGACCTGCAGCTTCCGATTGTCATGGCATCAGAAGCAAACCTTTGGTCGACATGCGCTACGAAGAAGAAACCCTGAAGCATTGTCTTGCTTTGCATGTGGGCGCGCGTGCCCTCAATAGGAAAAAGGCTGTTTTTGTTTGTCATGGCTGTTTTGGTCAAAAATGCTTGTTTTTGAGAATCTTGGCTGTTTTTGGTGTAAGTTTGGCTTGTGGCCATTTTTTCGCGTACACAGAGGGTCCAGGTAGGGTTTAGGGTTTAGGGTTTAGGGTTTAGGGTTTAGGGTTTAGGGTTTGGTAGTTGGTAAGTCCAGCTTCAAAAGGGGTTTAGGGTTGAGGGTTTGGGGTTTACAGGGCTTGACGGTTTGTTCAACAGAAAAAGGGCTCAGGTGCGACACGCGCAAGCAAAAACGAGACAGGTTAAAGACTTAGTCTAAACCTTAACCCTTTTTGTGTGCGTGGTGTGTGTGTGTGTGTTAAACCCTAAACCCTAAACCCTAAACCCTAAACCCTAAACCCCAAACCCCAAACCCCAAACCCCAAACCCTAAACCCTAAACCCTACACCCTAAACCCTACACCCTATGCACCCTATAAACCCTAAACCAAGGCCCTGGCCTTGGCGCGCTTGCTGAGGGCCCGCGGCCTCCGGGCTTCGCGACTGCTTCTCGGCTCCTGGAGGGAGGTGCACAGGTTTAGGGTTTATGGTTTAGGGTTTAGGGTTTAGGGTTTCGGGTGTTTTGAGGGTTTTGAGGGTTTAGGGGGTTTTGAGGGATTAAGGGGTTTTGAGGGATTAGGGTTTTGAGGGCTTGGGGTTTAGGGCTTTGACGGATGTTTCCCGTTTTTCTAAGAGTCCTACTAAGGGAGTCTAGTACCTCCCATTTATACTCCCCATTAAGGACTGTTAGTATAAGGGGAAACATCTCAAGCTTCGGATGTAGTAAAGGGGGTTTATAGGGTTTTGAGGGTTTCGGATGTAGTAAAGGGGGTTTATGGGGGTTTTGAGGGTTTTGGATGTAATACAGGAGGTTTATAGGGGTTTTGGGGGTTTTGGGTGTTATAAGAGTTTTCGTTAGGTGGCTTTTGAGGATTAAGTGGGGTTTGGAGGGCGTCAGTGAGGTTTCCGCGGGTGACGCAGAGGTTGCTCACAGGTTTTTTCCTGCGCAGAAGACTTAATTCATACTTTCCGCATCGGTGTCTTGGGGTTTAGCAACGAGTGGCTTTTTGAAGAGGACTGACTGGCTCAAAACCCAACTTTTCAACTTTTGGGCTTCTTATAAGGTAGTTTATTCTGAAAGTTTCAACTTTTATTTCCTTGGGTTTTGGGCCAGTAAGAGGACCTACTTGGCCACGATGGAGTGCTTGGGCTCCTGCCTCAGTGGTGGCGGAAGCCTTGGGATGGGGTGGGGGACCGAGCCCAACGTCTTGCAACGCCACTCCCAATGTCAAAAGCAAACAGTCCCCTAAATCCTAAACCCGGAACCCTAAACCCTTAACCCTTAAACCCTTAAATCCTTAGACCCTTAAACCCTTAAACTCCTTAAACCCTTAAACCCTTAAACCCGTAAACCCTTAAACCCTTAAACCCTAAACCGCTTGCAAGCAGAGAGAGCAGAAGATGCACATGACGTGGGCGTAGTGAGCTTCGGAGTGAGACGGAGTATACAGGGGCAAAACGGTGCGAAAGTGAGACCCTTGTTTTGACGGCGCTGGCGCTCGCGCGATCTCCCTCAGGTTCCGACAACGGCTGGTCCGACGGGCGCAAAGATCGCTCAAGGAGCATGAAAAGTTTGCAAAGCCCAACCCCGAGAGCCCAAAGTCCCTTTATCTAGGAATATAGACCTTACACCATATAGGGATCCTTAGCAGGCTCTATAAAAAGGTATATTCCTTAATTCAGGGGTGTTTTTGGGCTTTTTGGGTATCCGAAAGCCCGAAACCCTGGAAACCCCAGAAGGATGGCGGGGAGCACCTGGAGCTGGGCCCTGCACTTGGCTCAGGAAGCGCAGCGCCCTGAGCCTGGGTTCAGGGCCTTGCCATTGAGGAATTCTTCATACACATAGAGGAGTTCACAAATAGACAAACAAACCTATATGTGGAAAGTATTATATATATATATACATATTCTATGTACACATAATATTCTGACATGCGCAGATACGCAGGATACACTTTGTCAGGAGAGGTTTTCCGCTTGTTTTGGGGTGGAGATGGGTCACGGTGGGGCAGCCTCATTTGCTGTACGGGCCTCTTCGCCGATCCAACAGTGTCAACTTGTTTCACTCCCTCCCATGATAAGTTCCCCTGCTATGAATTGTCAGGAGACCCCGACCGGTCAAAACTAGTCCAAAAAACTCACGTCCAATGATGGGTCAAGACTGAAGTTAACTGCGCGTGCGAGGCCAACTCGAAGATGAGACCCCGCCCCACGAAACCAAGATGCTAAGTACATGAGACCCAAAACCTTGTAACCACCAGTCCCAGACATGGGCACCATAAACCCGAGACCTCGAATCCAGACCCAACACGCGCGTTCGCGCGCCCTAAACCTTGAAACCCAAACCCTATCCCCTGCGCTGTGAACTGCTAGCCGAGAGTTTGTGCCAAAATCCTATCCCCTGATAAGTTCGTCTTCCCAGGTATAATTGTAGAAATATAAAACCTCTGCAAACCCTGAAACGCCTAAACTGGTTGCATAAGCCGAGTTCCGCGTTCGGGCCTTGTCCCGGTGGCGGCGAAGCTGCCGCACCCTGCGCTGCCAGGACCCCAAGCTTAGGGTGCAGGGTTTAGGGTTTAGGGTTTAGGGTTAGGGTTTAGGGCTCAGAGTTTGGGGGTTTTAAGGTTCTAGGGCTTTATGGGGTTTAGGGGTATAGGGCTTCGGGAACTCAAGGGAATTCAAGGCAGGGACTCCTGCGTTGTTTTTTAAACGCATTGGGGTTGAGGCGAAAGTGAGCCTGGCCTACTTTCCCCAAGAGGGGTTTAGGGTTTTGGGTGTTAGGGCTTAGGGCTTCGGGCTTTATGGGGTTTCCGGGGGTGGGGGGTCGTCCTGGCAGTCATCAAGTCCGGCCTGCAAAAAGGGTGTAGAGGGGTCCCGAGGTCTCCACCATGATTTTGCCAATGTCACAGCTATATCCCCATGGGAATCATTTTTATTTGTTGTTTATATAACACCCAAGAGGATATTCAATATGTTATTTTTATTCAGGTTCAAAGGGGAGCATAGAAAGAGGTTGCTCCATCACACCTTCGACAAGTGGAGGGCGCCCGAACAGAGCCCAGAGTTGAAATCACTTCAGGTCATGCGGCCCACTCGGCTCACCCAAACACGCATCTATTATACGTTTTTTGCGATGTTCTGGAGTTTACTTAGGGGTACTTGGAAACATGATTTTTAATTATTTGGGTACTATAATGCCTAAGAAACAGTAAAAAAACTAATTTTTGCCAGGGTTCCAAGTTCAGCAGAGTTTGGATCACCATCCTACAAATTTTTGGTTTGATTGCTTCGTGCTGCGGCCTCAGACCAATTCCGCGTCCATGCCTTGGGGGCTTCGGGGGTCAACACTCTGGCATTCATTACAGCTCGGTAGGCCCTTGGGACATTCTATTCCCCTAGTGGGTTGAAGAGGATCATACTCAGGAATATTTTTCTGAGGGGTTTTAAGGGCCATCCTAGAAAGCTTTTCGTCATGCAACTTCCTTAGAAAACCCAGGCCTTTGGGGCCTGTCCACCTCAAGTGGCCCGGGCGCCCGTGGGGCGAAGGCTATTGGAGGCCGAGATTCACAACCCGAACCCTCGTCTAGGGTTAAGGGGCTGCTATTCAGGGTTCATCTAGGTTTTCTGAGGGCACGAATGGCGCCAGGGGCTTTCCAGCAGCTTGAGGAGTTGCTTGGTAGTATAGATGTTACTCATGTTAGGTTCGGCTCCGGCACAGGTACATGCAAGATCCATGGGAGGTGTTTCTGTGTGCGTTCGACAGTCAAAAGCACTTGGGATGCAAGCCAGCCGTATGCGAAGTCTTCACAGAGTTCAGGTAGGCCGTGAATTCATTCTCAATGCTTCCCCGTGGAGGTTCTGATACTAGGACCGAGAGCAGGCCCTTATTCCCTTCTTTCAGGGTTTTGTTTCCCTTACGTATAAGCCCCTTCAAACCCAAAAGGGCGCCCTTTTTATTCCTAGGTTGCTCTTGGGTCTAGGATAAGTTACCTTGCGGAACCTGTCAGGGAGAAGTTTTGGCTTTGAATTTGAGGGCAGCCGCAAACCGCAGGACATCGACTCGGCATGCCGATGCGAGCTCCAGCAGTGTTTCGCTTTAGAAATGCCGGCGTGTTGGACAGGGCGTGGAGTGTTTTTTTCTTTTCTTTTCATGTTTTAGAGTTTGGGTAAGGGCTGCTTCGACTGTTTACGCATTGGACATTGGTCTTCATGAAACAATCTATAGGAGTCTAAGTCTAAGATGACCCGTTCCAGCCAGCAGAGGTTCAATACCAGGCACGCATAGAAGCGCCAACGGGTTAATTTCAATCTCCATGCTTCTTGGACTCCCCGCTCGCTGTTGGTCTCAGATTGTTAGTTGCTTTGGTTGTTTAGTCCTGAAGAGTGTTTTGGGTGATGGAAGGCTGTTTGGATCAAGCGCACCGCCTATTTTCCTTGGCACATGTCTCCCCAGCGACAGATTTAGCAGAAGTGACGGCCAATGCTGCCAGAGAGTAAGTATATCGATGCAGCTTGGGATGTTCCCCCTTATGCTAACAGTCCTTAATCGGGATTATAGCAGCCCCTACCAGTATTTTCATCCCATTTAGGAGCTGCGAGTGTAAGGGGGAGCATCCCAAGATGCAGCTAACAATCCCTGACAAGGCCATGCCTGCAACAGGCTTGAACCGAGAAGCATGCACGTAAACCGCACAAGCCCTGCTCGTACATCGAGAGTTCGGCATGTGGCAAAAAACTAACCCTAAACCCTAGGAATCCCGTTAGATTCAGATGACAGCCTTCGGACCGAATCCGTGCCTGCCTTGCGCGAGTGTGAGAGCCGAACCCCTAAACAACCCTCGAACACTAGAACTCGACGTGCAAGATGTGCTGATTGCACATGGGCCTGAGTTGGCCTGCGGCCTTTGTGTGCTGGACCTCCGGAACTGGATCCGCAGGCCGGCGCATGTGTGGATTTAGGGGGTTTAGGGTTTAGGGGTTAGGGTTTAGAGTTTAGGGGGTTTTAGTGTATAGGGTTTAGGCCTGCGTGGACTGCAACTATGTGTATCTGCATGTCAGTCAATCCGGAGCTGCTGTTTCCGTTGAGCATGCTTTGGGGCCCGCGATCGCTTTGGCAACATCGGATCTGGGTGGCGAAGGTCGACAAGGGTTTAGGGTTAGGGTTTAGGGTTTAGGGCAACACAACTCCTTCACCAGGTTGGGAATGGGCAAGCGAGCGTCGCGGCCCGATGTGATGTGTGCTGAGATGATTTTGACTTGAGTCGGGGAGTGAATGTGCTGGCTAAAGTCTGGGGCTCTTTGGAGGCAAGTGACACGGGAGCTATATATGGATAATATATTGATATACAACTATATGTATATGTATATATATATATATATGCTACCCCCCCCCCCCCAAAGATCTAGGTGTTTTCACGATTTAGCGATATCAAGTTGAAGACCTGCATGGGCCCGGAAGGGGCCTAAACGCTTCACCTTTAAACCCTATAGGCTCTAGGGTTAAGGTTTGAGGGTTTAGGCTTAAAAAGTAAGCCCATAGAGTTCAGACCCCAAAGAAACGCTTAACCTTTAAACCCTATAGGCTATGGGGTTAAGGTTTAAAGCTTTAAGATTCAAGATTTAGCCATCTAAACCCAAGCCCACCTTAAGGGTTTAAGGTTTTAAACCCTCATGGCTTAAGAAATACCTAAGCCGTTAGACCCTATAGGGCTGAAAGGTAAAGAGAGCGTAATGTCTGGGCATTTATGCTTTCAACGCCTATAGGGTTAAACCCTTTTAACGTTTTAGAGCCCTACAGGGCTTCAGGGTTCTGACCCTAAAGGGCTTAGGCTTAAACCTTAAACCCTTAAGGTTGAAGCTCTATGGGCTTATGTTTTAATGCCAAAACCTTAAACCCTAAGCCCTTCAACCTTAACCCTATGGCCTATAGGGTTTAAAGGTTAAGCGCTTCGGGCCCTTAAGGTTTAAACTCTATGGGCTTGCTGTTGAACTTTTCAACCCTAAACCTTTAAACCTGAACCGTGCCTAAACACTTAACCTTTAAGCCCTATAGGGTATAGGGTTACGGTTTAAAGGATTAGGGTTTAAAAGTTCAATAGTAAGCCCATATAGTTTAAGCCCTTAAGGGGCCTAAACGCTTCACCTTTAAACCCTATAGGCTCTAGGGTTAAGGTTTGAGGGTTTAGGTTTTAAAAGTAAGCCCATAGACTTCAGACCCCAAGGAAACGCTTAACCTTTAAACCCTATAGGCTATGGGGTTAAGGTTTAAAGCTTTAAGATTCAAGATTTAGCCATCTAAACCCAAGCCCACCTTAAGGGTTTAAGGTTTTAAACCCTCATGGCTTAAGAAATACCCTAAGCCGTTAGACCCTATAGGGCTGAAAGGTAAAAGAGGGCGTAATGTCTGGGCATTTATACTTTCAACGCCTATTGGGTTAAACCCTTGTAACGTTTTAGAGCCCTACAGGGCTTCAGGGTTCTGACCCTAAAGGGCTTAGGGTTCTCGTTTAAATGCTTAAACCTTAAACCCTTATGGTTTAAGCTCTATGGGCTTGTGTTTTAATGCCAAAATCTTAAACCCTAAGCCTTTCAACCTTAACCCTGAAGGTTAAGTGTTTAGGCACGGTTCAGGTTTAAAGGTTTAGGGTTGAAAAGTTCAACAGCAAGCCCATAGAGTTTAAACCTGAAGGGCCCGAAGCGCTTAACCTTTAAACCCTAGAGGCCATAGGGTTAAGGTTGAAGGGCTTAGGGTTTAAGATTTTGGCATTAAAACATAAGCCCATAGAGCTTCAACCTTAAGGGTTTAAGGTTTAAGCCTAAGCCCTTTAGGGTCAGAACCCTGAAGCCCTGTAGGGCTCTAAAACGTTAGAAGGGTTTAACCCTATAGGCGTTGAAAGTATAAATGCCCAGACATTACGCTCTCTTTTACCTTTCAGCCCTATAGGGTCTAACGGCTTAGGGTATTTCTTAAGCCATGAGGGTTTAAAACCTTAAACCCTTAGGGTGGGCTTGGGTTTAGATGGCTAAATCTTGAATCTTCAAGCTTTAAACCTTAACCCCATAGCCTATAGGGTTTAAAGGGCTGAGACTTTATAAAACGTGAGCCCGATTGAAAACGATTGAAACGATTGAAATTCAATCGGGGGCCCGATTGAAAAACGATTGAAACGATTGAAATTCAATCGGGGGCCGGATTGAAGATTGAAGATTGAAGATTCCCAGAAAAAAGCTTTCCGGGAATCTTCAATCTTCAATCTTCAATCCGGTCTCCGATTGAATTTCAATCGTTTCAATCGTTTTTCAATCGGGCCCCCGATTGAATTTCAATCGTTACTTCTGAGACTTTATAAAACGTGAGCCCGATTGAAAACGATTGAAACGATTGAAATTCAATCGGGGCCCGATTGAAAAACGATTGAAACGATTGAAATTCAATCGGGGGCCGGATTGAAGATTGAAGATTGAAGATTCCCAGAAAAAAGCTTTCCGGGAATCTTCAATCTTCAATCTTCAATCCGGCCCCCGATTGAATTTCAATCGTTTCAATCGTTTTTCAATCGGGCCCCCGATTGAATTTCAATCGTTTCAATCGTTTTCAATCGGGCTCACAATTTGAAAATACGACCACGCACATATGAAGACTCGCACATATCAAGATTTACATGTCCATATGGAGATTTACATGTTTAGCTAGCCCCCCCCCCCCCCAACCCTAAAACCCTAAAACAGATCCCAAAACCACGAAAATACCTAGATCTTTGGGGGGGGGGTACCATATATATATATATATATGTCTATACATATATATATATATATACATTGCTACACATTGTATATATATATATATGTATATATATATATATATATTGAGCTACATGCGCCCATGGAATATTGTGGCCGAGTTTGGGGAGGCCGGGCAGGCACTCCCCAACACCCCTTAAACCCAGCATGAATACAACCTTTAAAATCCCGGCCCTTAAAGAAAATAGAGCAAGCCCTACTGTAAACCCTACAAAAATGCAGCCCTAAACCCTCTACCCCCCCCCCCCCCCCCCCACAGAGACGGGGTATCGGGAATGGATTGTTCCCGCATCTGTGTGCCCGAGAATGCCAAGACTGATCCCAGCACTCTGGTGTCTTGGCGCCTGCAGTGCAGGTGGCAAAAAAGCATGGGGTCACTTCTCAAAATATGGTCCCTTTTGAAGTTCTTATTATAAGGCAGCCCCTCTTATGTAGGGTACCCCAAAAAAGGGGCCACAACTGAGAAGGAGACATACAGTTTGGTAGCCCCACATGCCTAGGTCCAAAGCCGACGCAGCTGCGGCGCAGGTGGGCTAAACCCCTTCAACTTGGCGCGTTGTTCTGCAGGGTTTAGGGGGTTTAGGTTTTTTAGGGTTTAGGGTTTAGGGTTTAGGGTCTATAGGGTATCGGGGTTTTAGGTTTGTTTCGTGCACTCCTTCAAGAGGGGTTAAAAGAGGGTTGAAAAGGGGGTTTAAGAGAGGGTTTCAAAAGAGGGTTGCAAAGAGGGTTTTGAGGCCCATGCCACGCCAAGCCTTGGATTGGGAAGGCATCGCTTCATAACGGGCCCTCCCCTCTTTTGCATCGTGACCGTTTCTTCGTAGGCCCCCCAAACACCTCGAGCCCGCGATGGGATATAGCGACAAGCGTGTATGTATGAACATGTGTGCCAAAAAAAGATGCATCTGTGTTGCAAGTATGCAGTCCTTGTAACCCCTAAACAAGCACCAGCAATCCGATGCACAAGTTGCTACACATGCTTCACAAGGTCAAACCGTCCTGAACCAAGACCCTCAAGATTGACCGTCTCACAAGTGTAAACGTGAACCCCACTGAACCCCCTAAGCCCCACACCGCGAAACCCCCAAACCCCAAGCCCTAATCCTTAAGCCCCAAACCCTAAACCCTAAACCCCCTAAACCCCTGATGTTGAGAAACCCTTTTCCTTAGCCTTTGGCCACCGGAGGTTGGCCTGCAGGAGTTTGTCTCGGCCGTCCAGCCTGTGACCGAGTTGCTCCTCTTTGAGTTTTCTGGAAGAAGTTTGTTGGATGTGGTTTAGGGTCTAGGGTTTAGGGTTAGTTAAAGTTTAGGGTTTAGGGTTTAGGGTTTAGGGTTCCAAAAAAGGTTTAGGGTTTGGGGTTCAGGTTTTTTTGAGATTATGGGTCCCCCCCCCACCCACACCGAGCATGGAGTCCTTGTTGTCAGTGTTTAGTTAGCCAAGCAGTCCGTCGCTAGCTTCGCGGCTCATGGAAAGTATCTTTAGGGTTTACCTCTGGGGGTTTAATTGGGGGCTTTCAAACGGACTCTCCCCTCCCCCCACTAGAACAACTTCAGTGGGTTTAGGGTTGCGTCTTGGCGCTGGATGCCTTAGGCCCCTCCCCCTGAAACCTCAGCCCTCAACCCGAAACCCTATAACCCCTACTACGTTCTCTCTACAGTTGCCCCGCGGAGCATTGCTATAGACGGGTGGCAAAAAAGAACCCTAGAACGCCAGTATAGGTGCCAAATTGACCCCTTATCCTCAGTAGCTGAGTGAGGACACTTTACACTTTTTGGGATACTCTAACCCCTAGAAAAAAACTGAAAGCGTGCACTTTTGGGGGGGGCTTATGAACTCAGCAACCAGGTATCCAGTATGGGGGGACTTGGGTATGACTCAGTAACCCTAAACCCTAAACCCTAAACCCTAAAGCGCTTTTTTTTTTGTGGGGGGCCCCAGGAAGCAGCTTCTTCAAAAGCAGCGCCTGATACGGACCTTTGATGTGGGCGGCACCGGTGTGAAGACAGCGCAGGGCTCAAGAGGGTTAGGGTTTAGGGTTTAGGGTTTGGGGTTTGGGGTTTGGGGTTTGGGGTTTAGGGTTGTTTTGCACGTCCAACTCGGGAAGCCCTTCAACCCTAAACCCCAATCTTACTTCAAAAGCCTGGAGAGCTTAGGCCAAAAAATGTGGGTTGATGTCGCTTCGGCAGTTCCGCTTTCGGGTTGCAGGCAGCAGGGCCGTAACTTGGTGCTCTAACTGTCCCGCTTGAGAAACGCTTTAGCTTGCTTGCGCGCAGCTGTTGTGAGGGCTCATGGCATGCATTGCTTCACAAGGGTTGCCAACACAGTGGGTTTTGAGAATTTCCGGGGGATTGCGTGCAAAAAGCCGACCCAAACACTGTTCCCCCCCTTTGCCGATGGTCTTCCTTGCCCGATGCTCTGTAGACCTTGAAGCACAACACTCCGCTCAGCCATGCTTATCCAAGCACATTGCCGAGGGCCTTTTCACCGCGCCCGCCCTGCAAGCGTTCTTCGAAATCTCTGCTGGAGGCTTGATCAGTTCAGGGCCAACAAGCTCGACAGGAGCGAGGTGCAGGGAATTTCGTAGCACCTTGGGCAGGCATGTTCCGGACAGAACAGCAAAGCCGCTGAAATTTCGTGTCCTAGCTTTCTGAGGGCTACCTGTCGAATTCACTTCCATGTGCAGCTGGCATTAATTGGGCTTGTCAGGCAGCACATGAAGAGGTTGTTGTTCATCGGGCGACCAAGGCAGAGGCATATACTATATGTGTATATATATATATATATATTTTTTTTTCTATTTACTTAAATATAGATCAATAAGGACCCATATAAGAAAATCAATAGAGATGAACTGATCAGGTCCCATATGCCAAAGCTCGAACCCGAAAGCCAGGCTCGGATGCGGCTGTGACCGCGGAGGTGCACAGCCAGGGCAGCGAGATGCGCTCGGAGGACATGTGGGGGGGGGGGGGGGGCGTTCCTGTTTGTAATTAGGGTTCAGGGTTTAGGGTTTAAGGTTAAAGGTTTAGGGTTTAGGGCGGTTCCATGGCCACAGCACGCTGCGGTCGAGGTCTTGCATCACGAGGTCCCGGAAACTCCGCAACATACGACGGCTTTCATTCAGAGCCGTGATTAAAGGCCCTTTAGGGTTTATAGGGTTTAGGGTTTATAGGGTTTAGGGTTTAGGGTTTAGGGTTTAGGGTTTAGGGTTTAGGGTTTAGGGTTTAGGGTTTAGGGTTGAGAACAGCCCCTCCACATGCTGAAGGACAACCTGCGGCCTCCAGAGCTCGAGTGGGTGGAGCGGCCCACACAGCTTGGACAGGTTCGACGGCACGCGGGTTTAGGGTTTAGGGTTTAGGGTTTAGGGTTTAGGGTTTAGGGTTTAGGGTTTAGGGTTTAGGGTTTAGGGTTAGGGTTTAGGGTTTAGGGTTTAGGGAATGCAACCTGAAGTTCGGAGACTTTTTCGGCCTTGGGTAGCAAGGGGTCTGAAGATGTCTGAACGCCCTATATAGGGTCGTTAAGCCACTCCTTGCAGGTTTAGGGTTTAGGGTTTAGGGTTTCGGGTTTAAGTTTAGGGTTTAGGGTTTAGGGTTTAAGGTTTAGGGTTTTTGTTGCCAGCCGGCAGCTGGTTGCTTTTCTTCGCTAAGACAGGCTGCATGTTGCAACACCGCTCAGCAATCGGACACCTCTGTGCTCCGACGAAAGCGGTGGGTTATTCTCATTACGGCTACGGGCGACTATGTGGGGGTTTACGAAAATAGGGTACCCCTTTAATAGACCCTTAAATAGTAGGATCCCCGCATAATAAGGACCTCAATAAGGTACCCCGAGTCTCGGAAACCCCCATATACGGAAGGACAGCAGCAGAACTGGACGTGCGATGATGCACAAATGCCAGGCTCCTGGCGAAGAGGGCTTCGATGCTTGGTTGGAGGCCCGGAACAAAAGCGTACCATGTTGCCATCGTTTAAACCAGGCTGGCATCAGCAATCTCCGCGACTGCCCAGTTGGCGCATCGTCCTTCAATGACAGCCAGCAATCATCGTAGCTGGCAGTCGGAAGCGCTTCTTCGCCAGAGCCTTGAGCAGATCAGGAAGCGCTTCCTCGACTGAGGCAGGAGAAGGTGGGGGCACGTACTTTGCTCTTTGGTGCTTGCCATTCTATAGGCGCGACAATAGTGCAGCTTGAAGCGAAAAGGGCCGCACCCGAACTCGCATGCCACGGCAAGAACCACTGAGGCCAAGTAGCTGTAGCCAGAGCTTTCAAGCTCGGACTAGGCTGTACATGTATTATATTGAGAGAGCCTGCGCAGGTCAATGCCAACGTGGTTTTCGGCGTGTCCACCGCGGGGGACGTCGAGCACAGCACCGGCATCTTGCACGTGGGGGCCTCTTGCGAAAGTGGAGAACCCCCCCCCCCCGGGAGATTTCTTTGTGAGAAGAACTATTTTTTGCGATTCCTGAGTATGATACTTACTCGTTATTCGTGATAGTGCGCGACTACTGGCTTTAGCTGTGGCTCTTGGTGTGACGTTTTTAAGATGCGTCTTGCCACTGATAATGTTATATAAGCTCGTTTGAGGACTGGTGGTCTGCTGGCGGCCACCCACGGCAGTGGGACGACTCCAGGCAGCTGGGGTAGGGTTCACGGGTTCGGGGTTCTGCTTATAGGTTCGGGAAGTACTTGATCAATCTTATGGTTGTGTCTCGTCTTCAGGGTTAGTTGGAGTTGGAGGTTTTTTTGATGCTTCTGCATGTCAGGAGGAGGGTTTGATGATCTGATGCAAATTTTGCTCTGTGAGCTGCTGCGTGGGTTAACTGTTCTTCCTTCAGTATTCAGGGCTGAGCGGTTTGGACTTCTGTAGGTCGTAGCTGAAAGGGTGCACTAGGCTACTGGTGCTTTGCACCGTGTGACTTCTGGACTTGGCACCAAAGTACCCCTACACTGCTAACAGCAACTGGGGGATGTGCCCAAGTCGGATAGCTTGAGAAGAGGACGGCTGATGTGAAAAACACAATCCACCAAGTCCGTACCGTATATTGCCTACTGTTTGACCGCCGACGGTCGCCTCTACCTTAAGCCGTACAGTGCCAACCCTGTACACGCCTACGCCCAGATGCCAGCGGCGGGATTCTGATTGTCACGAATCCTCCCCTAAATCCTAAACATTCCTAAGCCCTAAACCTGGAAACCTAAACCTAGCCCTGAACTCTCTGCTTGCAAAGCTTTCAGGCCCGATCCCCACGTGGCGGACCTCATGGGCCTTCCACGTCGGGCGGCCAAGAGAAGGGGCCTAAGAGGAATGTAAAGTGGGTTATAAGGATCCTAAGCTAGGTTAGAAGTCCCTTGACTTTAGTTAGTATAGTAAAGGGGCCCCTCCTTGTACATGGAAAGAAAATCACAAATTTGGTACAGGGCAAGAGCAAGACTTGAATTTCATCAGCAGCTGAGACCAGCAGCAGAAACTTGAGCAAAAAGGCGTTCTTCCTGACCTAGTGATGATGCAGCTGTCAACCCGGCCGCGATGGGCAGCATGCAACGCGTGCAAGCCGCTCGCAGCGCGCGTTGAGAAACTCGAGATCTTCCGATCGGCCCAAACGGCTGTCGGAGACCTGCTGACAACAGATATATCAGAAATGCAAGCAGTTGGTTTTGGAGTCCGGCTGTCACACCAAGACTCGAACAAAGCTTCAAGTACGCATAGCCCAGCAATGACAACAGCACAAGGATCTTATCCCAGCTTCGCGTCGTGTGAGTGGTGGTGTTGCTCGCATCTATATGGTGCAGAGGGTCCCCCTTAAAGCGCCTTTTTCAAAATGGTCATGCACGGGTTGCAAGATACTCGCGGTGGCAATTTGTTCAGAGCAGCAGGGTGAGCTCCCATGCCGTTTGATTTCATCAGAAGACACAAGTGTTTCAACAGAAGCTCCACCAATGAAGCACGGTGGGGCTGTGCCACTTCGGCGTCATCTATCGCCGCCCAATTTCAAAAATGTCCAGAGGTAAAATCCGAGACCATGAGCGGAGTCTGCGTGAACCCTAAACCCTTAAACCTACTATTTGCTTAAGAACCCCCCCCAAAAAAAGAAAAAAAGATTCCTTATAAAGGGCAACATGGGGATTATTATCTCGAATTTTGTCGGGTTCCTAAGCTCGACATCCCCCAATTCTACGTCCTCTTGGCGGGTGGCAAAAAAGCCGAAAGTTTACGGTTTACGATTTAGGGTTTAGGATTTGGGGTTTAGGGTTTAGGGTTTAGGATTTGGGGTCCAGGGTGTAGGTTTTAGGTTGTTTAAACACGTTGACACTCGCATTGAGGAGACCGGACCTTCATTCTTCACGATGGCGCTGCCCACTTGCCACTTTGGTGAACAAGATCAGGGTTTAGGGTTTAGGGTTTATAGGGTTTATGGTTTAGGGTTTAGGGTTTAGGGTTTAGGGTTTAGGGTTAGACTTAGAGATAGGCGGAGTTCGGAATACAACTGGCGCAAAGTTACTCCCTGCAATCCTTACGTGGGCTGGGCAGTAAGGGCAGCAGCCGAGTCCCTTGTGAAAAAAGTCCTAACGTTCCCATGTCCTGTCAAGCCGGCCGAGGCATTTCCGGAACGCAGCGGCAAGAGCGCACAATCGCTTGTTCCCACTTCTGAATCTGAACCTCAATATTGAATTTCTTGAGGTTCCCCGTGCCGCACCCCCACTGCTGGGCTCCAACTATTTAAACGCGGGCAAAGATGCCCTCAATTCGCCGGAGGGTTCCTTGTCACTTGGGGGCATGCTTTCAACTCCGTTGGTATTCATGTCACTTGCAACGACGCTGACGCAACTCCCCATTGTGTGAGTCAAGAGTCAAAACTTTGGGCAAAACACTGAACTTAGGCTAGGCTGCAGCCGGCGGATTGTACCCATGCCTCGCCTGGCTTGCTTCTCCGTCTGCTGCCCAGAGGTTTGCCGTGGCTTTGGAGGTATACAGTCTTTACACTGGACTCTACTGGATCAGAGCGTCTGGAATGCACGATGCGGAGGTTTGTCTGTATTGGAGTAAAGTCCAGGGTCCCCTAAACCCTAAAACCCTAAACCCTAAACCCTAAAACCTAAACCCTAAACCCTAAACCCTAAACCCTAAACCCTAAAGCCTAAAGCCTAAACCTAAACCCTAGACCCTAGACCCTAGACCCTAAACCCTAAACCCTAAACCCACTTTGGGGTGATCAGCACCCTCCCAAGAACCATGCATCGGTCAATAGGTAATGTCAACAACGCCGGGGCAGAGCTTAGCCCACACATGCTGCATGCTCTGTAATATCGGATGGAACTTCCAGCTGATGTTCTGGCAAGTTGCTTGAACCATCCGTTTTAAAGTTCCGAGAGCGCTTGTATCGTCAAAACATCTGTCGCAGCCCACGCACATGCTGCGAGAGGCGCCTGGACGGGTGAACAGGCAAGGATATGGCAAGTTTCGTCGAAACAGGGGCAGAAAGACTACCCACAGATCAATGCTGATGTGCAAGTAGAGCTGGAGCCTGGAACTTCCAGCTGTTTGTCTCGTCAAAACACCTGTCGCAGCCCACGCACGTGCTGCGAGAGGCACCTGGACGGGTGAACAGGCAAGGATATGGCAAGTTTCGTCGAAACAGAGTTCCGAGAGCGCTTGTCTCGTCAAAACACCTGTCGCAGCCCACGCACGTGCTGCGAGAGGCACCTGGACGGGTGAACAGGCAAGGATATGGCAAGTTTCGTCGAAACTGGGGCAGAAAGACTACCCACAGATCAATGCTGATGTGCAAGACATCCGTTTTGAAGTTCCGAGAGCGCTTGTCTCGTCAAAACACCTGTCGCAGCCCACGCGCGTGCTGCGAGAGGCACCTGGACGGGTGAACAGGCAAGGATATGGCAGGTTTCGTCGAAACAGGGGCAGAAAGACGACCCACAGATCAATGCTGATGTGCAAGTAGTGCTGGAGCCTGGAACTTCCAGCTGATGTTCTGGCAAGTTGCTTGAACCATCCGTTTTAAAGTTCCGAGAGCGCTTGTCTCGTCAAAACACCTGTCGCAGCCCACGCACGTGCTGCGAGAGGCACCTGGACGGGTGAACAGGCAAGGATATGGCAAGTTTCGTCGAAACAGGGGCAGAAAGACTACCCACAGATCAATGCTGATGTGCAAGTAGAGCTGGAGCCTGGAACTTCCAGCTGATGTTCTGGCAAGTTGCTTGAACCATCCGTTTTAAAGTTCCGAGAGCGCTTGTCTCGTCAAAACACCTGTCGCAGCCCACGCGCGTGCTGCGAGAGGCACCTGGACGGGTGAACAGGCAAGGATATGGCAGGTTTCGTCGAAACAGGGGCAGAAAGACGACCCACAGATCAATGCTGATGTGCAAGTAGAGCTGGAGCCTGGAACTTCCAGCTGATGTTCTGGCAAGTTGCTTGAACCATCCGTTTTAAAGTTCCGAGAGCGCTTGTCTCGTCAAAACACCTGTCGCAGCCCACGCACATGCTGCGAGAGGCACCTGGACGGGTGAACAGGCAAGGATATGGCAGGTTTCGTCGAAACAGGGGCAGAAAGACGACCCACAGATCAATGCTGATGTGCAAGTAGTGCTGGAGCCTGGAACTTCCAGCTGATGTTCTGGCAAGTTGCTTGAACCATCCGTTTTAAAGTTCCGAGAGCGCTTGTCTCGTCAAAACACCTGTCGCAGCCCACGCACGTGCTGCGAGAGGCACCTGGACGGGTGAACAGGCAAGGATATGGCAAGTTTCGTCGAAACAGGGGCAGAAAGACGACCCACAGATCAATGCTGATGTGCAAGTAGTGCTGGAGCCTGGAACTTCCAGCTGATGTTCTGGCAAGTTGCTTGAACCATCCGTTTTAAGTTCCGAGAGCGCTTGTCCCGTCAAAACACCTGTCGCAGCCCACGCACGTGCTGTGAGAGGCACCTGGACGGGTGAACAGGAAAGGATATGGCAAGTTTCTCGAAACAGGGGCAGAAAGACTACCCACAGATCAATGCTGATGTGCAAGTAGAGCTGGAGCCTGGAACTTCCAGCTGATGTTCTGGCAAGTTGCTTGAACCATCCGTTTTAAAGTTCCGAGAGCGCTTGTCTCGTCAAAACACCTGTCGCAGCCCACGCACGTGCTGCGAGAGGCACCTGGACGGGTGAACAGGCAAGGATATGGCAAGTTTCGTCGAAACAGGGGCAGAAAGACTACCCACAGATCAATGCTGATGTGCAAGTAGAGCTGGAGCCTGGAACTTCCAGCTGATGTTCTGGCAAGTTGCTTGAACCATCCGTTTTAAAGTTCCGAGAGCGCTTGTCTCGTCAAAACACCTGTCGCAGCCCACGCACGTGCTGCGAGAGGCACCTGGATGGGTGAACAGGCAAGGATATGGCAGGTTTCGCCGAAACAGGGGCAGACAGACGACCCACAGATCAATGCTGATGTGCAAGTAAAGCTGGAGCCTGGAACTTCCAGCTGATGTTCTGGTAAGTTGCTTGAACCATCCGTTTTAAAGTTCCGAGAGCGCTTGTCTCGTCAAAACACCTGTCGCAGCCCACGCACGTGCTGCGAGAGGCACCTGGATGGGTGAACAGGCAAGGATATGGCAGGTTTCGTCGAAACAGGGGCAGTGCTGATGTGCAAGTAGAGCTGGAGCCTGGAACTTCCAGCTGATGTTCTGCTAAGTTGCTTGAACCATCCGTTTTAAAGTTCCGAGAGCGCTTGTCTCGTCAAAACACCTGTCGCAGCCCACGCACGTGCTGCGAGAGGCACCTGGCCGGGTGAACAGGCAAGGATATGGCAAGTTTCTCGAAACAGGGGCAGAAAGACTACCCACAGATCAATGCTGATGTGCAAGTAGAGCTGGAGCCTGGAACTTCCAGCTGATGTTCTGGCAAGTTGCTTGAACCATCCGTTTTAAAGTTCCGAGAGCGCTTGTCTCGTCAAAACACCTGTCGCAGCCCACGCACGTGCTGCGAGAGGCACCTGGACGGGTGAACAGGCAAGGATATGGCAAGTTTCGTCGAAACAGGGGCAGAAAGACTACCCACAGATCAATGCTGATGTGCAAGTAGATCTGGAGCCTGGAACTTCCAGCTGATGTTCTGGCAAGTTGCTTGAACCATCCGTTTTAAAGTTCCGAGAGCGCTTGTCTCGTCAAAACACCTGTCGCAGCCCACGCACGTGCTGCGAGAGGCACCTGGACGGGTGAACAGGCAAGGATATGGCAAGTTTCGTCGAAACAGGGGCAGAAAGACTACCCACAAATCAATGCTGATGTGCAAGTAGAGCTGGAGCCTGGAACTTCCAGCTGATGTTCTGGCAAGTTGCTTGAACCATCCGTTTTAAAGTTCCGAGAGCGCTTGTCTCGTCAAAACACCTGTCGCAGCCCACGCACGTGCTGCGAGAGGCACCTGGACGGGTGAACAGGCAAGGATATGGCAAGTTTCGTCGAAACAGGGGCAGAAAGACTACCCACAGATCAATGCTGATGTGCAAGTAGAGCTGGAGCCTGGAACTTCCAGCTGATGTTCTGGCAAGTTGCTTGAACCATCCGTTTTAAAGTTCCGAGAGCGCTTGTCTCGTCAAAACACCTGTCGCAGCCCACGCACGTGCTGCGAGAGGCACCTGGACGGGTGAACAGGCAAGGATATGGCAAGTTTCGTCGAATCGCTTGTCTCGTCAAAACAACACCTGTCGCGCTACGAGAGGCACATGGACCGACAGATTCATAGGCCTCTTTGCAGAAAGGCTTCATCACATTCCGGCTTGTGGGCCTGCTTCTGGCCATGAAATCAAGCTTGGTTTCGTCAGCACGCCCTTGCTGGCGCATTCAGTTGTGCCTGACACTGGTAACGCGGCACTTGCAATGCAACAAAAACCGTGACAAAGGTTGGCACAGGCGTTGGCTTCGGCATCTCCGATGAGGATGCATGATCTGTGGGGCTTGGGCTACTTGCTATGCGACCTATCCCGGCTACTTACTATCACCTTGCCATGCCCGCCTACGAAGCTTTCAGAGCTGTTTAGAATAGTGAAACTGTAGGTTCGTGCAAGTAGTTCGTATCCCTAAACCCTAAACCCTAAACCCTAAACCCTAAACCCTAAACCCTAAACCCTAAACCCTAAACCCTAAACCCTAAACCCTAAACCCTAAACCCTAAACCCTAAACCCTAAACCCTAAACCCTAAACCCTAAACCCTAACCATAAACCCTAAACCCTAAACCCTAAACCCTAAACCCTAAACCCTAAACCCTAAACGAAAAGAACCAGATCCCTTGGCCCAGAATGCTGTAGATGCAAGGTCCAGATGCGCTTCTTGCACCAGCCTTGATTCGAAGATCAAGAGATTGTAGCCTGTTGCAAGAGGGGCCTACATCGGCCCGTGGTTTAGGGTTTTTGGGGTTTTCAGGGGTTTTTAGGGTTTTTTAGGGGTTTAAGGTCTAGGATTTAGGGTGCAGGAAGGTGTTAACTCTGTCCTGCACAACAGCAGCCACCAGGAGGGTGGAATCCTGGACCCCTTCTCTTCCGCAGGCCACCTCCAGCACGCGAGATCTTTCCCTTAGTTTTGCTAATCTCTTTTCGTATGGTTCTCCTACCAAAAAGACGATTACTTTTCCTTAGTAAGGGGTAATATAGGTTTTTTTTTTTTTTGGGGGGGGGGGGGGGCATCTTAAGCAAATAGTAGTTCTCTCGGCCGATAAAGCCCTGAAGCAAGAGCCCTTCGAGACTTGGAGCGGCCTGTTTAGCCCCCCAAAACCTACAGCACCCATGCCGAGATGTGGGGATTGACGAGAATAGCGTGCCGAATATAGTTCCCCAAAATCGTCGGATTCCCTTGAATAACCCTAAACCCTAATCCCTGAGACAAGAGGCTTGGAAAAGGGCTCCAACACAAGGAGCCTGAGGTGTTCCACGTTTGAAGCAGCCGTTTGGGATGTTCCCCCCTTTTACTACCCAGTCCTTCATAGGGAGTTTAATGGTTGGTGCTGTAGGGTTTAGGGTTTAGGGATGTTCTCTCCAGGGATTTGAATTGTTGGTACTTTCATCCCTAGAAAGGACTGTTCGTATAGCGGGGGAACATCTCTAAACCCTAAACCCCAAACCCGAAACCTTAAACCCTAGACTGTTAGTCTAGGGGGGAACATCCCAGGCAGCAGTTGAAAGTCCAGTTGGCATCCCTGCGATGCCTATTCGTGCTGGACCGGACAGACACCCCTGAGTTCGGATGTCCTCCCTTATACAGTCCTTAATAGGGATTGTCGTACCCCCCCATTATAATCCCCATTAAGGACTGTTAGTAGAATAGCATAAGGGGGAGCATCCCAGAAACCCAGAAACAAACCTCAACCCGAAACCAACATGGCGATTGCTACGGACTAGAACCCCAAACACCCCACCCCCTTACCCTAAGTTCACATCGAGCGCGGCCCTCAGATCATGCAGCAGAAGCCCTAAGTTCACATTGTTCAAAAATATGTGAGTTTCATCAGTACTAATCACCCCCAAAAGGGCTTAAACCCTATAAACCCTATATACCCTGAAGCTCCTTCTTTTGGAAACACCGATTTCAGCTCGGAACGCGAGGCTCACGCAGCCATCTGCTCAATGGCGTGCCACTTTCTGGGGCGCCGCCGGGGCCCCCAAGGAGTATATACGTATACATATAGATATATATGTATAAAGGTCTATGTACATATACAGCCTGTATGTATTGTTTGCTTTTTGTTTATACTTACGTACTGGTAGTTTTCTGTTTGCTTGCTTGTTTATATCTGTTTACATGGGTGTGCATAACATTCAATAAATACATGAACATAACATATTTGTACAAATGATCTTATGTATGTAAATAAAAAATAGATATTAAAATATATATATATATATATATATACATATAAAAAGTATTTAACATTTATAAGTGCTGCTTCTGCCACATGTGAAATGGTCGTTGTGGGCTCCTGGTGTCCTTTTCACGTGCTCCTGGACCATTGGCGTGCTCTTGCGTGTTTCCATGGTCTCTCACTGTTCGGGGTCTACGCTGGCATGTATATATATATATATATTGTGTACATATATATATATACAGAATGGGTTGACCAAATTGCGGGATCCTCATGAACTAGCAGCAAATGTGTGTTCGCTAACAAAATGCCGAGATACCGCGGCACCTGGCGAAGTTGGGTGGAGCAGACGGAGCATGTGGACGAGGTGGAAAAGGCCATGTCTTATGGTCTAGGCATGCGAAGCAGCAAGTAAAAGACGAATCTCTGAAGTAGGTGTGTGTGTGTGTGTGTTTCGTTTCGTTTCTCTTGTGTGATGTGAAGCATGGAAAGGATAAAGGAGAGGAACCCAAGTGGAATCTTTTCATTCAAGGACGAGATGTGCAACTTCCACTGATGCCCCCAGACATGCTTTCATGCTTTCCCGCACCCCTGGCAGCGTTTGTTCAGGTCATGCTGCGGGAGTTCGCAGGTATGGCGCGGCCGTGGAACATGCCCTGGGCCCGGAGCCTCAAAGGGGGTGACGCCTGCAAAGGTTCAGGGAGTTTGGGGTGCGGAGTGAATAGCTGCAAAATTGCTTGGACGGATAGCATTTGGGCTGGCTTAGCGTCGGTTGCTTCTCTGACCTCTAACGAGGGTTTCTTCGGCTGCGTTTGTGGCTGTATCATGTTCTTTGCCAATCGGCTTTGTCGGGTCTTCGCATACAGCACCACGAAACTTAACCAATCCCAAGGTTTTCGTGGCTGATGGTGTTCAATCAAATATTCCGGTGTCCTTGAACGAATTTCAGAAGAGCTGCTTGAGAGGAGGAGTGAGATTCATCGACTGCTTTGCGCGAGATGCCCTAAACCCTAAACCCTAAACCCTAAACCCTAAACCCTAAACCCGATACGGGGTCATTGTATGGTAGGCGTTTGAAGGGGGGGGGGTCGGCTGAGCTGAGTTGCCAGTAAGCCGTGTCTCACGTCTTCAAGCTTGAACCAGAGTCCTCGCCCGCGTTCCGCTAGTGTGAGAGTCGAAACCCTAAACCCTACATCTGGGTCTGAGAATCCCAGGTTAGCCTGGTGCTTGGGCGGCGGGGGATGGAGTTGGCAGAAGCTGCATTCGGCCGCCCAAGCAGACGTTGGCCCTAAACCCTAAACCCAAATCGCGCAGAGTTGTTCTCCTTCTTTCCATGCAAGTTTTGGGGTGATTTTCTGGCCTTCTGCAGATGTGGGTGGCAAATAACGAGCGCTTTCCGCTCACCGCGTCAACACACCGTAGTTCCCAGTTCTGCACACCAGAGCCTTATAGAGGTTCCACAACATCCTGGTTCCCGTGTCTGTGGGCTTAGAGATAGTCGTAGGATTGGGGCTGCGCGCTCCGACCTTTATAATTATCGTAACATCCATATGAGTATGATGAGTCACTTCGCGCGCCAGGCTGTCATCCTCCTCAACATCTTCAGGCAGAGAAGGATGACGGAGGTGCAACATAGACCCCTCAAGAAACCAACATGTACGACCAGATATGAGGCAGGACAAAAGGCAAGTGTGGATGATAGACGGAGCGGAGGCAGTCAACTTCCGCCGTGCGATGATGTTGAGTTGGGACCTAAGTTACGCAGGGCTTCTTGGCTGAAGGTTTGCGTCGTTCGTACAAGGCTTTCGGCCATCAGGGGGGCAGGGTGAGGCATGTTTACGTGAGAAGTCCAGATCTCGGAAAAAGATGGTCAAGCTCATCCTCACTAGTTGCTCCAAGAATGCCCTTTTCCGCGGTTCCCTGCTCCTTGTCGAACTCAGGCGGCGCCCGGCAAGCGCGGCCTACGCGCAACAGCCGCACGGTCGCATGGAAAGGCATGTAAGGCATGTTGGACATACGGCATATGCATGTATATATATATATATATGCTACCAAATACATATATATATGTATGTGTATATCGTATATGTCAATCTGTACATATATATATATATATGTGCAACTCATACACATGTACAGAGGCCTTTCGTTTCTGATCTACGTGATTCTGGGCAGACCCTACGCAGGCTCTAGGCAGCCCGAGAGCAAAACACTCTTCTGCCAGCTCTTTTTGAACTTTGCCGTACGTGTCGTCCAGGTGGCTGCACTTTCTGAATACGCAGCTGGAGCCTCATTGATGGAAATGGGCGGCGGCGCCTCACTACGCAATCACATGCACCCGGCCACCCAAAACTCTGAACCCTGTGACGCCAGGCAGCTAGGCGGGTGGCACAGACCAAGCTCCCCAAGCATGTTGCACTCCTTCGTTGTTGGGAAGTTTATGGTTTGGTCAGTTTGGTCTCCGAGTCCAGTGAGTCCACATCCTACAGCCACTTGCCGGCCGTTATGAACCCTTTGGAGGAGTTCTGACTGGTCCTGTGCCTCAATAAGGCTTAAGGTGTGCACGGCTTGTACGGTGTAGGGTTTCGGGTCTACATCGGGCGTGAGGTTCCTTCCTCAGTGCTGCAGCGGAACGCGCAGGCATAGAGTCGGATTCTCAGTCGGCTTGGCCGAAAGCCCTTACAAACTCTACTGTGCAGGTAAGGGTTTGCGGGTTTTAGGCTTTGAACTGCAAACCCTAAAACGCGGACTGCTTCAGATAGCGTGCACATCGTGCACAAGAACCACGGTCATCGATGCAAAGTATAATCCGCTGATCCCGGCATGGCCTTCGAGCCCATGTAGAGCCAGAAATACCCAGCCCACAGGATGCAGAAAAAGACAGGGGTGTACTTGAGAGAAAGGGCGAGAGTGTGCGTGTGTGCAACTTAATCGTATGAAATAGTGTGACAACATATACTGCTCATAATATCTAATGTACACATGCGTTTGTGAAAGTTTTTGTGGTATTGCAGTGTACAGTACCGTATTGTATTGTATTGTCTTGTATTGTATGTACCGTCTTGTATTGTATTATGTGATATTGTATTGGCATATTGTATTACATGTTCTTGCGTGTGGTCTTGCGAAAATGGCACCATAATCTTTAGAGAACTGACCATTTATGCGCTGGGGTTGACCCGAGCCCCAGCTCTAGCCCCTGAACTCCTTTCTCAGCCCAAGCCATAGTCTTGTGAACCCTAACCCTAGAGTGTGGTGTAAAGCTGCTTGATGTTGCAGGTGGCAGCACGAATGTTAACCCCCCTTTATCTAAGCCTTCATACCCCCTCGCCACCCCTGCCCTTGCCAATGTGAGCCCCACCCCAAAAAAAAGGGATTGGGTTCAGGGTTGAGGGTTTCGGAGCTGCGAGACTCGTGGGGGCCCCCTACGTCGCAGCCCTAAACACCCCTCCTCAGCGCCCCCGACCCACCAAAACCCTCAACTTCTGGACCAAGGCCGAGCAAGTTTGCTTTGGGGGGCTTGTGGCCGAGACGAACTGGGTCTCGCTTCAGGAGGCCGCAAATCAGAAATCATGCGCCTTGCGGGTAGCTCTGGCGTCGAAGCGATTTTATGCTATCTTGCGTAGGCCAAGAGGTTTTATGTTCGACCAACTTTGCATGGAAATGAGCCTTGCTTACAATCAGCTGTAGGTGGGAGGTTGGAAGGAAAGCCGCAGAAAGCCAGAAACAGTGGTGACGGTGATGAAGATTCAGCACTCGAAGGTATGTCCCTTAATCACAGAAGCACCCCACATGCACTCGCCCGGAAGCTTTCATGATTCTGATTCGAAAACAGGCTCCCAGACGTCTTACGTACTAGTACGCCTCAACCTGCGTCTTTCTTGCATTTCTCGGCCGTGGTTGGCAGGCAATCGTTGGCCCTGACTCTTGCGCACATGGCTTAGCGTTCTGATCTTCTGCTGGCCGACACAGCGGGGCGTTCATCCTTAGCGGGTTCCGCAACGCACTGCAAACTTGCTGAACACTGAAATCCAGGAGTTCATCAACATCACACACCATCCTGGAACTCAGAGACGTTTCTGAACTTTCTGGTATTTCCGATGCAACTCATCCCAGGTCCCAGGGGCTGACAAGTCTGCCGGAAGACATTCATGTTGTCTATTCAAAGAAGGCATGTTCCATTATAGAGTTGCATTATCTGTGTATAACACGTTCCCAGCCATTCTGGCACAGATTTGCTGCTGAGGTTGCGCCTCTGCCCATCGCAGGCTTGGTTGCGCGTGGACACTTCACGTCTCGTTGCCGCGGAACGGAAAATTGCCGGAGGGTCTCATTGTTCCCTAAGCTTCTTTTCAGACATGTCTCCTCCAGTCACGAGTCTGCCTTGTCCGGAAAGGCCGGCACGTCTAAGGCTTATCATCTACATGCAATCCGGCGAAGCCGTTGTGACCTCTGCAGAACACAAGCCTGGTACCCCTGACAACCATCCCCAACCCAACTGCCATTATAGGCAAAGCCTATAATAGAGCCTTTATGGGCAAGCAGGTCCAGCGCAGGTGCCCGCTGCAAGTGCCAAGTGGGGTGCCAAGCTTTTGGCTGGGGCTGGGGTTGAGAGTTCAGGGTCGCCATTCTGATTGAGGGTTTCCTCAAATTGTGGCTGGGTCCGCTCTTTTTGGGGCTCACTTGGAGCGATTAGCCAATCTTATCCTCTTGTAGCCCGATAGAGGTACACTATTGTATTCATCCACTGCGATGTCAACCACGGAAAGTGGGACCTTGGCGGGAACACGAGTTCGATTACAGAATGCGTGCGTGACATGCTGTAGGTGGGGTGCGGTAACTACCCCGGACACCCATCTAGTCAATAGGCCGCATCTTAAGTGCTTAAAGAGGTTCTATGTTCTATTAACAAAAGCTACTCGTAGTTGGAGTAACATATGGATATAAAGTGCATGCTCTTCGAGAAGAACTCGAATTCCACCGTCATCTGCATACGTATATATTTATAAATAAATAACAGATATAAATAAATAAATATATATATATACATACATACATACATACATACATACATACATACATACATACATACATATAGAGATACTTTTAAACTCTATTGGTTTGACGAAATGTTACAGATGGATTCAAATTTCTGATTATGTCTTAAGGGTTTGGGTTTAATTAAAGGTTTGAGGGGTCAGAGATTAGTACAAGTGCCGGTTTCCTGACCATACTGTTGGCTTCCAGCAGATGGTGCAGGGCTCGGACGCATGGATTTGCGGACCCAGCGTGCCAGCAAGCCCCTGCCTGGGACTCCCCTCCTGAGGCTTCTGAATTCTGGGTTCCTTAGTTTAGGGTTTAGGGTTTAGGGTTTAGGGTTTAGGGTTTAGGGTTTAGGGTTTAGGGTTTAGGGTTTAGGGTCCTTTCTTTCCATATGCTAAGGCGTGGGAAGGCTTCCAAGAATGCTGTCTGAGCCTCAGTCCATCATTGAGAATGTGGAAAGGGAGCCTTGGCCCCAGTTCAGAACGGTATTCGTGCAAACCCGAAAGAAACACAGGGAGTCCTAGGTAGGATAAGGGGGACCCTTAACAGGGAACCCCTTCTGAACCCTCTTCTGGCTCTCTTGAGCAGGGACCTTATTCAGAGGGTCTACATCCCCAAGGGCCCCCCTAATCCTATCCCGTAGGGAGAAGATGGAAATGATTCTTCAATAAATCATCTGGCAACCCATGGCTTTGCACAGAGAACTTGGTAGGCACTTGGGAGATTTATTTTCCCTTACCGGGTTCGAGGATCATATTTAGGTTATTTTTCAGAGGGCTTTAAGGGCCATCCTGGAAAAGGTGAACAAATCCAGGACCCAGGGTTGTCTCGGCCGCTCGGGGCCCGTCCTGTACAGGGATCAGCTTTGGCTGTATTCGGCCGCTGCCCCATGTGCGTGTAGCCTTGCTATTGAGGTGTATATGGGTGGCTGTCAAAATTATGACCCTTTTTGGGGTACCCTAAATATTAGGTGCCGTATTATAATGGGGATCCAAAAAGGGACCATCATTTTGACAACCTCCCATATTGAGGTCATGCAAAGCTTTTCACACACAAGTTCTGCGGAATTCCCCTTCGTGATGAGGCTCCCGCGAAGTCGCCAACAGTGCGGGTGACCCAATCCTCCTGTTCTCCATGGCTGATGTTCTTGAACCAGTTCGAATTGTATCATAGAGGCCGGATGACAGTCCGGAGTTTGCAATGCTTAGCTTAAAGATCGTGGCAGTAGCATGTCAAAGCGCCCCAAAACGAGCATAAACGAGCGACGTCCCGTGCCCTCCCCTAGATCCAAGAAAGCAAAGTTTTCGAAGACGTTGTAGTTGTCAGCCAGTGTCCTGTAGCAGAGATCTACATACCTACAGCACAGGTCGGTGCAGTTGCAAAATGTGCCTGCACAGCCCAAACGTCACGGACCCACGAAGAGAGTGTGACAGCGTGAGCGATGATACCCGACAGACAGATAAGGTGGACTGACTCCTTGCCTGACGAGACGCAGGAAATCCCTAAACCCTAAACCCTAAACCCCAAACCCTAAACCCTAAACCAATTCAGGTACTTCCCCTGGCGCCCCATGCTTCCGGACTTATCGGTGCTGGCCTGTACGCCTTGGCGGGTCTCGGGCGCATCTCGGCATGTTCGAGCTCTAGCAGTTTCGGGCTATTGCACTCTTCTTCCTACAGCTTATTACTCCCAGTTGTACTATGGTTAGTACGATGACGATTATGAGTGGTGATTACAACGTCTTCGGTAGCTAAAGTTCAGGAAGAGCCATGCCTGCTAGGGGATGGTGTGGGGGTCCTGAAGGTAAGAAACACCGGATGTGAATGTTTGAAGCCCTTCCCCTTACGATTTTCCACTCTTCGAACAGCTCGGAGAAGAATTTGCGCAGCTGGACCTAGGATGCTGCAGCTAGGTCATTGGGGGCTTTAAGTGACCCTTTGTATCCCCTTGATTGGGATGTTCCCCCTTCTACTTTAGTAGAGATTCTAGTAGGGAACATCCCAATGGGTAGATGTCATCGTAAACACCGAAACCCTAAACCCTAAACCCTAAAGCCTAAACCCTAAACCCTAAACCCTAAACCCTAAACCCCTCCCCCTCCTCCACTTCCGCACCTGAAACTTTAGCTGGCCCTCCCTGGGCCGAGTTGAGGTCAACCTGCAACTCCCTAAACCCTCTAAATAATAGGGTTTAGGGTTTCGGGTTTAGGGTTTAGGGAAACCCTAGAATAAATGGTGTTGTATGCTTATAAGGTTTAGTAGGGCAAAACGAGAAACCCAAGCTGCTGGTGTGACATTGCGGAGCCTAGGCTCCGAGATGGGCATCTGGGCCAAGTAGTCTGCTGGTCGCGCTTGGGGGCCGAAGAAAAGAAGCTGCCTGATGCTCTTTCACCTCGATCAGTGTTAGGGTTAGGACGTCCAGCTATGCAATGGGCAGACATATCTGAAAATGCATTAATGGAGGAATAATGGAGGTCCAAAATGCAGAGCTTGACCTTCTCCATCGCAACAATGGGGGAAAAATGAAGACCCATTTCTCCTCCATTTTCTGGTTTCTGTATATAAAAGGCTGCATGATGGCTCCTACTTTTGTGTACGATATACACACATTTCATACATGCTCGGTAAATCCCCGTCTATTTTTTCGAGAGTCCCCGACACCGAAATTTATGGACGAGTCGCCTGCCATAAATAGCCGCAGCCGCAGCCCCCGAAATATGCAACCCCCTTCCCCATCCGCCTGTTGCTACTTAGGGGTGGGGGGGGCGGAGGGCCATGCAACCCACACGAGCATCTATCCTGGCCCCGGCATCCCAACCCTCATTTTACCTTCATTCCTGCGGTGAGGCCCAGGCCAGCCTCCATTTTTCCGGCATTCCTGACAAACGGCTACCTCCATTTTTCCTCCATTTTTCCTCCATTTTCCTTGCAAAAATGGAGGAAAAATGGAGGAAAAATGGAGGAATAATGGAGGAAAAATGGAGGCAAAATGGGGGCTGCCAGGAACCTCATTCCAGAATGGAGGCAGAATGGAGGCAGGAGTCCAGCCTCATTCTGCGGGCGACCCCCACCCGGCCCTACCGGGCATACCCCGGCACCCTTCTGCACTTCAAACTCGAACCGTTTGGAATCTCGACATTCAGACTGGCGTGCCCTGTAATTGTCCAGCTGCGCCGGTTTAAAGTAATGACGCAGATAAAGAAGTGCCAGGTTCTTGTTCACTAGACTTTTCAGCATCTGTCAGCTGTGATTTTGCTTTTGTGCCACACCTGCCTGACGCTTGCGAGAAAAAGTGAGAAGCTAGAACGCCTTGATTTCGCCAGCATTCTTGATTGAGGCCAGGAATGGAGGCGGCTTTGCCTCCATTCCTCTACCCTCATTTTTTGGATGCTGCCCCCATTCTGCTGTTCTGAGTGTCTGCAATGTTGGGCTTCATAATGTTAGGGATCCTTTTTTCTTTTTGGGTTATGGGCTTTCTTATATATGAACAAAAAGGATCCTTGTTTCTTCCTAGGGGAACAGGGATTAAGTTTCCTGGCCGGGCACTTGACGTGTGGGAATGTGTTGAAGTTGCCGGAGGGTGTGTATCTCTCAGAAAGTTCAGCAGAAGCGCCAACCCATGGCTTGCGGAGCGTTGCATGTGGGCTTTTGCCGGAGTGCGCGCGACACAATGCCGATCTGGCAAATCCCGGGTTCAGACGCTGACTGTTCCAAGCTTGGTGGGGCCGGGCAGCGCACGGCGGATTAGCCCATATTCAACAACAGAGAAGGGAAATCCGACCCCCCCCCCCTCCCTCGCAGCCTGCGCACTGCGGGACTTCCAGCCTTGTGTGAAGTTTCATCGGTAAGCATCCGCACCTGATGTTTGGTGGCCATGGAAGGCTCCGAGGCGGGAAGTGGTGGCAGGTTTGGGGAGTCAGACGGTCAGGATGTGCGGTGGATCCGTTCCACTTCATCTTTGGACAGCCCCGTGTGAAGTCGTTGAGATAGCAATATATCTGCATGTTTTGTCACAATGCATCGGGTAGGGTGGGATCCAGCCCTTGCAGCCAACGGCCAATTACGTCATTGCAGACTCTGTCACCGCATGCGCAGAAAGATGGATTAAGGCACTGTCGGGGGGCGCCGGGGGGGGGGGGGAAGGGGGGCGGGGCTGCCCGTGTGTGAGCTTTCAGAACGCATGTTCCTACTGCTGCTGCGCCGCACGTGTTGTTTTGTGCTGAGTCGTTTGAGCTCGTTGCCGGCAGCTTCAGTGACTCAAAGGTAGAACCAGAGCTAGAATCGTTTCAACGCCTTGTGCGAATGCTGCGTATGCACAATATACTGGTGTGCAGAAAGACAAAACTTGTGCCGTGAATAGGACTTCCAGTCCGGAATTGATTTACTAGCAAGCGGCTGAGCGCTGCCCTCGAGACTGTCGTCCTCACCTGGCCATGGAGTCTTTTCAAGTGGAAGTCTCGGCGGGCCCTGCGAGAGCAGTTCCTGCTCGTAGGACGTGGACGCCGATGAAGATTGCCGTGGCTGTGATTTTGGTGATCTGCAGTTTGATTCTGGGGGGATTCTTGGTTCATCGATTGGTCTTACGGCACAACCCTCCAGATGAGAATTGCCAGGACTTGCCATATTCTTCAGTACCTGTACCTGCGATCACTGTGGGCCCTGCTGAAGCAGTCGCAGGCTGGGAGAATTGCCCTTCATGGTCGGCGGGCCTCCAGACAGGTTTGGGAGCCGGCTGGAGCCCTCCCGATCCCTCTCCGCATTCTCCGCCAAGGCGTCTTTCTTCGGGGATGTGCCGCAAATACCGTGTACCTCTCGACTATAGCCAGGGAATGGCCGGTGGCAGCATCATTGTGACAGTGAAGCTTAGTAGTAGAGTAGGCAACCTTTAATCTTTCTTGGGGGGTGCTGAAATCCCTATTACGCATGACCCCTTTTGAATTTCTATAGAACCCTCAACCCTCAACCCTCAACCCTAAACCCTAAACAAAAAAACCCTCAACCTCTTTAGTTCCCCTGGAATCTACATGGAGAGAGCCCCAAGGAAGCGCTCGCGTGTCGGGGCGCAGGAGGATGGCCAACTCTGGCTTATGCAGGGCGGCCCCGGGGCTCCCTCACATCCCTTGCTCAACATGATCAGCGTTGTTCCTGGGTAGGATGAGGGGGAGCCCTTAAAGGGGAGCCCTTCTTAAACCCTCTTCTGGCTCTCTTCAACAGGGACCTTATTCAGAGGGTCTAGATCCCCAGGGTCCCCCTAATCCTATCCCCTAGTTGTTGCTCGTGGGAAATTTCATATCTTCCCGCTTGTTGAGGGCTCTTTTTTTTAAAGAGGATCACATAATTGGCCCTTACTGTAGCGTCGTTGCCTAGTTTTTGTGGGACATTTCATCTTTTTTCGCGAATTGAGGTTTTTCTTATAAGAGGATCATAATTGGTTCTTACGACAGCGGAGGATATTAGGATTTAGCACACAGGGCTTAGGGTTTTGCATTTTGCCTTTATTGGGGTTTATATATGAGGATCATAATTAAGAACTTTCCCGTTGTGGAGTTTTCAAAATAATGATCTGAAGAATCTTAAACCCTAAACCCTAAACCCTCCCTAAACCCCCAAGCCCAAAAACATGTTTCAAAGGAGGGTTTTCTAAGGGTCCTGAACCCTAAACCCTAAACCCGAAACCCTAAACCCATCCGAGGTTGGCAAAGTCTCATATACACTGGATCACCGTGGTACGGGCTGGTCCAGCGCCTTAGATTGCCCCAAAGTCCGCGTGAAGCCCGGGAATCTGCCTCATAGGCATCGATTTGGGATAAGTTTGGTTCATTCCCCTTACTGTTTGATGTGGAGCCCTAAGCCCTAGGTATAAATGATTTTGGGGACTGTTGAAATCGACACCTAGGCCTTGGGGCACCTCGTGGATGAAGTGGGTAGGCCTTGGGAATGTCTCCACCGAAACGATTGATGCCTGCCTCGCGGAAGTCTCCGAGGACATCGGCGCACCGAAACACTTCACGGCGGCCAATGCAGCGCGAGATTTGGCTTCCGTCATCATGGCAGTTCAAGCCGAAACGGGCAGCACGGCCGACGTTGGAATCCATGGGTTTTCCTATGGAACCGTGTGGGCACGACGCTTTCTGGAACTGCAGGGCAGGGAGTTTCCCATCATCGTCTCGCACGTGGGCATTGATGGTGTGTGCAGCGCGGACTATGACTTTGGGCAGTATGCTTTGGCAGCAAACCGCGCAGGGCGGCGGCTCTTGGATGATTATTGTCATGCAGACTGTCGCAGCATGTTAGGCGCACCTGCACAAGGGTCGGTTTCTGCCTGGTTTGAGGAGGCAGTGCAGGAGATTGACAAAGCCGTGGCCGATGGATCGGCAGGTCTCTGTGGGAAGCATCTTTGGGAGCAGTTTGCGAAGTCGTCCGCCCCTTCAGGCTGGACAGCCAAGGCATCAGCCAAGGAGGCGTTGGGCGTTTTTGGCTACTTATCTGTCACGCAGGGGGCCGGAAGTATGAAAAACTTCGTGACATTTGTTATCACATTGCGGCGGTGTGTCAGAGATGCGGCTGCAAAGACCATCCCACCCGACTTCTGGGCTGTAGCTGACAAGATCAGCTCGCAAGCTTTTTCAGCAAGCCTCTACTTCAACGCCAAGCCCCCAGATTTTTCAGCAATTCTCCACCATGTCGTCGGCTTCGGTGACATGTGGAAGGGGCCTCCAGAGCTACACGCCTGGGGCTCGACGGATGCGCAGCACGGGAGCTGCAGCTTGGAATCCTGGCGCAGATTCTTTGACGAGCGTGTCGTTTGGGCGCCGGACTTCGTGACACTGATGAGCAGATATCAAGATGTGTTCAATAAGTACCTTGTCATAGTTGGGTAACATTTTACATGTTTAAGGGTACTTAAACCGAATAAGAAATGAAACATATTTTTTTAATATTTATCCCAACAATGAACTAGGTACGGCTATCGGGAAAACTATCGGCTTGTCCATAGCAACGGCCACATGGCAAGCAACGTGACTGTTCTCGTAACGAACGGCGACTTGGATGGGCAGACTCCCTTGCGATCTGCGCGTGCCACCTTTGAGGCCTTGCCGACTTGCAAGGCAAAAGTGGAACTTCGAACTGGGAAACATTGCGTCTCTTCTGATAGCTGCGTGCGCGGGGTGGTTCAAGCTTTCTACAGAGGTTCGGTGGCATGCCCGCCAGGTTCACTGACTCCGGAGGACTCCAGTGACCTTCAGGTGGCCTTGAACAAGTTCCAATCTGGGGCCTGCAGCTCAAACACGATAACATGGCAGCGCGGCTTCTTGGACGTAGATAAGTGCGGGCAGGAGCACCTCAGCATCCAGTGCAATCAGAGCGGTGCATCAGTGGTAGAGAGTTACGACTTTGGGTTTACCGATGGCATCCACGGGGTTTGCGAACGGTGTTTTGCCAAATGTCTCAAGCTACTTGGTCAAGCAAACGTGCCGAACTCAAGATGCGTCTGCGCGGCGGAGGCTGCTAGCTGTGGAGCCAGAATCGGCAATTGCACAGATGCTGGGTTTCTCTGCAGGCCCTTGGGACATTTGATATTTTCCCTTATTGGGTTTAAGAGGATCATATTCAGGAATATCCTAAACCCTAAACCCTAAACCCTAAACCTTTGTTTAGAGGGTTTTAAGGGACATCCTAGGTTTGCATTCTGCTCGAAAGAAGCATCGAACGCTGGCTGTGCCGACGTTGAGAAGTTGTGCCAAGAACCGACTGCAATCCGGGCAGAGGATGCCGCGGCACCGATTGCAGTCTAAGACAGGAGCCTGTTTAGGGTTTAGGGTTCCTATATTCTCCCCTAACCCTAAACCTGAACACGGCCCCCCCCCCCCCCCTAAATAAACCTTAACCCCTTTTAAGCCCCCCCCCTCCCCTAAACAACCCCCCCCCCCCCCCTAAATAACCTACCCCCCCCCCCCCCCTAATTATAGTCAGCAAGCCCGTAGCTCATTCCGTGTGCTTGGCCTGTGCTCTGGCACCAGGCCACGGGCCGTTTCCGCTTCGTCTCTCCTAAGTAGGCCCGTGTCTCATGCTTATAGGCTTACTTTTATTGGATTTGAACTCCTAAACCCTAAACCCTAAACCCTAAACCGATGTTTTGAGAGGACCTTATGCAGCAGCACATGTTCTGAGGGTTTGAAAGTGGGCCGACAGAGTCACAACTGCGGCGACGCGGAAGGGGGCATCGAAGAAGCGGTTACAAAGTGCGCACCTGCAGGGGTTTAGGGTTTAGGGTTTAGGGATATTATCGAGGCGGGCGAAGTCTCTTGAAAAAGGATTTAGGGTGTAGGGTTTCGGGTTTGGAGCGTCAGGTAGCTCTATTGGAGGGGCCAGCGGAAGAGGCTCTTTGAAGTATTAAGATGCCTTGCGGCATCGAGGGGGTGGAGAAATCGCAGAACCCGGATGCTTGGGTCCGCCTGGATCTTCCTAAAAGCACCAAAATTTCTGACATTCCAGGACGTCTATTGAGCTGCCTGCAGTGGGAGCATTGGGCCGAGTAACTGCGATCGGTTCTCAGAAAAGAAGCTGCGGCCGATAGTTCTTTCTAGGGCAGTTGGCTCTGCGGTCTCATCTGCGATCTCAGCTTGGCTCGCCTCTTTTGATGCATTTGCGTGGATGACGGGCTTGTAGGTTTTCTGTGTGCCTGACAGGATACTTCTGTAAAGATCGAGCAAGCTCCATGTTCAGATGCTTTTCCAAGCTTTGTGGCTGGGCTGCTCGCAGCAGCTTTACCCGCACGATATCCAGCGACAGGCGCAGGAAACCCGCTGCCCCGCCCAGCCGCAGAACGTAACCTCCCAGCCCTTCATCAAGTTTCATCCTTAAGCATTTGCGCCTGATGCTTCGTGGCCATGGAGAGCTCTGAGGCAGGAAGTGCGGGCAGGGAGGATGTGCGGCTGAGTCAGCGGCGAGTCGGCGATTTTGCGTTTGCATGGTGCATGCCCATGGTGCTCCAGGATGCATTTGGACGGGTGGCCGGTCAGTTTAAGTTTTAGGTTTTTTTCGGTCACAGGAAGGTTGATGTGACGTCGTCGCGGCGCCAAAGATACCCCAAAGAACGCTTGAGCCACTGAGTCACTAAGCACTTCAGGTGGATGACCCCCACAAGCCCACCCCAGACAGGCCCTACCAAAGCTCCACGCCACCTCAGCCGCACCCATGGCTCAAACATGCTGACCGCCCAAACTTTTCAACACCCAGCCGCGCACAAGGCCACAAGAAGCAAACAGCCCGGGGTTTAGGGTTTAGGGTTTAGGGTTTAGGGTTTAGGGTCTAGGGACTCCAAGCCACCTGAGTTCACCAAGCACTGGCTCGAGGCATTGGTGCCAGAAGCCGCAGCGCCGAGTAAGTCGCGATGCCCAGGGGCTGACAGAGTGCAGTTTAGGGTTTTGGGTTTAGGGTTTAGGAGGGTTTAGGGTTTCGGCTTTTTGGCTGAATTGTTTAAACAAACTTGGGGATGAAGTTGAGGGTTTTTGAGGGTTTTGTTTTGGTCTATTTGGCTCAGAGACATGCAGGCGCCGCCTTCAGTCCATGTGTCAAGCATGGCTCCTGCACTCTTCGAAGGGATCGACTGCTTAAGGCACCATAAACTGCGAACGCTGATGTTACGGCCCTAAACTAGACTGTTTCCCATGGCATTTTTTGCTTTCGCACGTATAACCGAGATATGTCTGTATCTATACATACACACGCACACCTTTCTGTAAGCATCTGAAGCCTGACCGTCCCACAGCATTCACCTACCCCCCGAGGGCCATGCCGGCATGTGCCCTGCAATGCGTGCCCGAATCCCTAAACCCTGGACCCTGAAACCTGGACCCTGAACCCTAAACCCTAAACCCTAAACCCTACAAAAGAGGAATGTAGCTCTGAGGCCCAAGGAGCCGAAGCGGCCAGAGTCTTTCTTGCTGATCTACAACGCTTGCGCCTCAGCGACCACTAAGGCTAAACTCGAAACCTAAACCCTGTAGGGTTTAGGGTTTAGGGTTTAGGGTTTAGGGTTTAGGGTCTGAGTGCGGGGGGCTTGCAGGGCGGCCTTGGCTCACAGGGTTATTATCGAGGCGGGCAAAGTCTCTTGGAAAAGGGCCTCAGTCGTCGCCGAGGCCCTGTCACGAATGCAGGGTTTTGGGGCAGCCAAACCGGGCGGGAGCATAGCCAAGCTCGCTGCAAAGGGGTTTAGGGTCTTAGGGTGCCCTTCTTTAGAGATTTAGGAGGAGCCGGGTTGCAGGGCTGCCGGGTTGGGCGGCAAGGGCCCGTCTCTCAACGACATTGCATGTGGGAGATGAGCGCCGCAATGGGCGTTGCTCTAACTGGGGACGATCTTGGGGATTGCTTACACGGGACTCGGCGAAACAAGTGTGTTAGTGCAACCCCCTACTGTAGAACGTGCTACAGCTGCTACAGTAAGCTGCTAGGCCATCTGTGGCATGAGGGGAAGAGAACGCAACACAAAACGGCAAATTCTGAAGTGTGCAGCCCACACAGTGCCTGCTGCACCGGGGGGTATGCAGACGATTTCGGCTGCTCAGCTGCGCCCAGGTCAGCAAAAAGCAGAATTTCGGTACCAGGCTCAGACGTGTCTTGATGGTGTGGGTTGCTCTTCCTAAACCCTAAACCCGAGACCCTAAACGGCTGCATGCATAAACTCTGAGCTCTCGGGGTGATGGGCGCTGAAATGGTCCATGGTCATTGGACTGAGATGTTCGCAAGATTTGGCACAGTTGCAGTTCGATGAGTGGGTTGGCTCGTATGGGCTTTGGGATGCGCCTTGCGTCAGACCATATTCTGAGTTACTCGGGGGCGAGAGAGGGGCATCTGATCCTGAACCCTCATTGCGAGGCTACACGGCAGGCCGGAAAAATGTGCCCTCAACGCCTAGGCACCTTGCTGAGATCCGCGTGCGCATTCGGAGTTTCAGAGGTGCCTCGACGATGCACCCTGCTTCTTCTTCTCACGCCCATATCATGCTTGGAGCTGCAGAGAGCTTCACGCCCGAGTGTCAAGCTGATAGGCACTCCACCGCTGTGGAACGTGATTTTGTGGGCCAGGTGCTTGTCGTTGGTGCAAAGAAAATATCGAGTCTCGGCAAGATTCACACGCACATGCTGCAAGATGCAGTGCAAACAGTAACGAGGAAGTTGCTACGCAGCACGGTGCTTTGTGGCAAGATGCACAAGAAAAGTTGCGCCCCTTCATGTTTAAGTGTAATGAGAAATGCCCGGTTACCGCCGCCCAGGACCTTTGGCAATCAAGGAACAGCTGCGCATGCACCATGACAGCAACTGTGGACGAGGTTTGTACCTTGTGTCTGGTCGTCCTTCAGGGATGATAGCCAAAGCCTGGGCTTGTTTATTTGTAGCGTATTTCATTGGGGATCGTACCCAGCTTGCTACAGCCTCAGCATGTGGGACTTCTGGACCTAGGCGAATGTGCGACATTTCGACACTTTGCAGGCGGGCGACGGCACATGCTTCCACCATGCCAGAGGTTTCGGTCACACGAAATGATACACAAGAAAGGCCATTGCAGGTAGTGCTGGCTCAACATCCTCCAACAGTAACATTGCCCAAGCACACTGCGCAGTCGCTCTATCCATGACCACATACGGTCAACCATGAAAATTTTGATGCCATCATCAGCTACTGAGAACAACCAACCATGCGGAGCGGGTGCTCCAGTTCTTGTGACTTCTCTGCTAGGCGGCCAAAGACGATTTGAGATCGAGAGGCGTCGACCCAAGCCGTGCACTTCTGCATTTTGGGTGCATGGGGTTACTCCCAACTAACGGGTCCTTTGCGGGGCCCAGGAATTCCGCTTGTAAAAGATTTCTGGGGAGGCCCTATCAGAACCGCTTTCAGTACAGTTCCTCTAATCAGTTGAGACAGACAGGACGTAGCAATATTGTTTCCGGCTCAAGCAAAGTTGAAGCAGACACCTCAGCCAGGAGGTTGCGGGAGGTAATTGCGCCCTATAAACCCTCTAAACCCTATAAACCCTCACGACGTCCACCCCTCGGAGCCCTTGCTGCCTTCCTATAGAGGGCAGGGCCTCAATCCCCCAGCAGGCGCGCAGATCTGCGGCATCGAAATCGATGACACTGCACAGCCGGCCGGGACCTTGGGTTTAGGGTTTAGGGTTTGGGGTCCTCTTTTTGGAAGCGCCAAAAGCTGCCGATGCTGCTAATAGTAGTGCATAAAAGGTTTCGGGTGTAGGCTTTATAAGGTTTAGCCTAAACCTTATAAAGCCCCAAAAAGGCCGACAATAACAGGATCTGGGGTCTGTAGGGTTTAGGGTAGTCGATGTCGGCTCCGGCTGCATTCGCATATATAGATTTTGAGCTGCGGGCGCCGGCCTTGCGCTGCCCCAAGTAATTGGCTTGGGCACAATAAAATAAGGTCACAAGCCATCCGTTTGGGGGCTCCACAGCGTTCATGCTGGGCAACGAAGGCGCGACCGGCTTTGGGGAGCCCCGAAGTTGAGGAGGCGTACCCCGAGCATCCCCCTCTGATTGACCTGCCAACCCTAAACCAAATACCTCCCGAGACCCTGACACACAACCCTAAACCCTAAACCCTAAGCGCCCTCGGCAGGGGAAGGCATGTCGACAGCGCAGAAGGAGGTTTGCGACTCCTTTGTGTACATTCCCCAGTTCACAGGCGCTGCTTTGGCATCAGAGCTTTAGCAGCTTCGCTGGGCCGAACTGTGATAATATGTAAAACGCAAAACGCCCTAAACCCCCCCAAACCCTAAACCCTAAACCCCAAACCCTAAACTTCCTAAACCCCCTAACCCCTCAAACAAAAAAACCAAGGAGCAATCTCATGTGTCCGCCGAGCGTGGTAGTCTGCCCGTCTTGCGACTCCCTCGGCCACTGGGGAGCCACCTGCAGAAGAATCAGAACACAATGAAAAATAGCGATGTAGTTGTAGAAGTATAGAAGTATTTTTCATGCTATTTCGAAATGTAATACTAAAAACCAACAATATAACACTATAACCATCTAACATGACAAATAAAGAAGCCGTGTAATCACAGGGAGCCAGAGAGTGCAAACACAGATTTGCACTCTAATGAAAACATACAGTATTATACTGAAGCTTAGCAGTTAGCTTCTCATCAGAAGGTTAGCTGCTGTCTTGCTTGGGGGGTTTAGGCTTTAGGGTTTAGGGTTTCGGGTTTAGGGTCCGAATTGAAAGAAAATCCCCCCCCCTGCCCAAACAACTTCAGCTTGCTTTTTCTCCAGCAAACTCAGGAAACTGCCTAGGCCCGGACAACCTTGGACAATAGCTGAGAGACACACAGCGAGGGCAACATTACTCAAATATATTTTGTCCTCGGACTCATCGTGCTTCTGCTTCGTTGCGCTTATTCATGTGTTCGTTTCTTCTGCATGGGATGTGCTGCCAGGACCTGTCACACCCAGCCTTGTGCCATGGGGCTGTCCTTGCAGGTGCGACTGCTTCCCTAAACGTCGCCATTGCAGGCTCCATCGCCGGATGCCCAGATGGTGGCCGTGTCATCTAGAACAAGCCAGGGAGCTAGGTACCGCTTGGGAAGGTTTTTTCTTTTTTGTATATATATATAACCCAAGAGATATTTAAAATCATATTTTTATTAAGGTTCTAAGGGGGGTATAGGATAGTGGGGGAACTATAGTCTCGGCGGAGCATGCTGAGAGCACTGCGTGTCGCCGTTGTTGACTTTATTTCGTTGCAGATATGGGGGGTTCCGCGCACGTTGCCCGCCTTCGGAAGTCCCCGGAAGTGTTTTGTAACTTTGCGTATTGCTTGCAGCTTCCTGTTGGATGAGGGGATGGATGAGAATTGGGGGGTTGGGGGGGGGGGGGGGTGGGGGCTTCTTACAGCTGAGAGGGCTTTTGGGAATGCAGCCGACTTGAGGTTCTGCACCACTTCGCGACGTGGGCAGGCATGCAAGAGCACCCCAGGTGGGCCAGTAGCTGGGCTTGGAAGACATGACAAAAGTTGCACCGTGCGTTTTTTTAAGCTGCGCGGGCGTTTGGGGCACATTGAATCTGCTATAGTGTTCATTCGGAGTGCTGAACTCATAAACCCTAAACCCTAAACCCTAAACCCTAAACCCTAAACCCTGAACCTTGGGATGCCAGCATCTGGGCCGTTTCTGGTGAGTCCCCTAGGCGAGCATGTTCTGGCAGCGAGTCCCTTCGACTGACAACCCCTAAAGACCTTGCCGCTGAAAGCCTTCCACAGACCCGTTCCCTTATACACCTCTCTTTGGCAAGGGTGCGCTTTTCATTCCTAGGTTGCAGGCCATGGGGTTGACATGGGTTGACCCTAGATTCCTTTAAATCCCAACGTCTCTGCAATTCCGCAAGCAAAACCAGGCCCTAGCAGAAAATCTGTCGGGACATAATCCGCCAATCGCACACCAGCTGTAGAACTGCATGTGCATCGTAATTACTCAGGAAATGTTCGATACATGTCGGCCCTAGCACGCAACTCACTCTGCGCAGCACGCTTGCACACACTCCAGGGGTGCTTACATGGCCCTTAGTGTGTCCCTGAACTTCTTGAGAGGGTTCTGAAGTATGGGCCATGGGGTTGCGTAGGGAAAATAAGGGGTCCTCCTTTGAGGGCCGAAATTCGGGGACCAACACACTGACATGGCAAGCACAAGGCTCCGCATACGACATTGCCATATCCAAAACACACTTTGTAGAAGTTGGTATCCTCTCTGAACCGTCAGTTTCCGAATAAACAGCAGCTGTGGAGTCAGGGTTCCTAGTGAAGGTGAAGTGATAAGGACGGACACCCGTACTTGATTCCTCAGTTAAGGTAACTTCTAACCCTACATTTGCCATAGAGCATGTGTTCCGAACGCCTTAACAGCAGCCGGAAGCAGGGTAATTGGATCATGGGCCCTGGAAGGTCCGGGGAGAAGTTTGTGGTTGAGCAGGGCGCCCAGACAATGTGTGTGGGTTTAGGGCTTAGGGTTTTCCTGTGGCCTTTACCTACAGTTTTATGGGTTATCCCTACTAATTATACAAAACTGTAGGTAAAGAGAGTCCCAGGTTGGGCTTAGGGTTGAGGAGGGGGGGGGGGCTGTTCTGCATCAGAGGATCCCCCCCCCCCCCTGTTCCCTCGCCTGATGTAGAAGTTTGCAGGAAGCTCCACCTTGGCTGGGTTTAGGGTTTAGGGCTTAGGGTTTAGGGTTTAGGGTTTAAAATGGCTACGGCTCAAGTTTGGCTACGAGGCCCTAACGGGCGTGCAAGAGAGTTCAAGCCTTGTCCTGATCTATAGCGCGCTGTTGCCATGGTTCAGGCGAAATTATGTGCATGCATTGCTTATTGCATCCGGTTGGCCAATCGAAGTGGGAACGACTCGGCGGCACAATGCCTTTGGAAAGTGTTACATGATTTGGGGCCCGCAAATGAATGCAGACCTCATGCTGTGAAGATCAGTTTGTTCGATGCGCTCAGCTTTGGGAGAACTGTGGATGCAGAAAATCCGGCCGTGGATGTTGCAACGCAAGCATTGGACAGGACCTACTCCGAGGCGGAATGTACGCATTGGGCGGAGACGCTGGTCGCGCATGCTATGACAGAGTTCAAGGCTGCTACCGGAGATTTAGTGAAGCGTATTCAGGCCCTCCAGGACGAGAATTTGAAGATGCTAAACTTGAACGGTCGGGTTGACATGCTGGACGAGGCACTTAGTGTGACATGCCGGAAGCAGGTCCCGTGGACACGCTTGCAACATCCAATGGAGGTCTCTCGATCCTCACATCATCCATCTTCTTGCGAGCCTCCTTGGCCGGCTGCATCGGACAGGTCTACTGAAGCTGCCCGCGCTCCCGCTGTGGTTCCTGAAAAAACCCTGCAAGAGATGAAGGACGCAGAACACTGCAGGAAGAGAGCTCTGAAGGCAGAACGACGACGGCAGCGACAAGCTACTGAGGTGCAGATGGACTCTTCGATTTAGTCGTATGATGTGTGCAGCTCGAAAATTTGACAAGCTCCAGTTATGCCCTCAGCAGTGGAAAGCATGGTGCTTTAGATCCGTGCATGTCCCCTGAGTGCTTTGTCCTGGCGTGACGATGCAAACCGTTGCAAGAGGATTGAGGCAACAGCGCCCCTTTTTCTACCAGTATACTAAGTCTCGCCTGTGAAGGCATCCCCTGCTTGTATAGGGTCGCAGGAAGGCTCTGCTATCAGGTTGCCGGCAGTTTCCCAGTCCGTGCTCAAAAAGGGTTTAGGGTTTGGGGTTTCAAGCAGCTCACTCGTAAACATGCCTAAGTGATCCTATATGGATCTTGGTAAATGTTGGGGCACCAATGGACTCGCAACAAGGTCGTGCTTATGGTAAGTAGCTAGCTGTCCCAAAAAATAGGGGTTTCCGAAATGAGGGGTACCTTATTGGGTTCCTTTGTTTAGAACTGCGCCGTGCTTTTGGAAGCTGCCAGTTGTGGAGGCGGCCAGCGAGCTGTTTTAACCCTGAGCATTAAACTAAAGCAAAAAACCTTTCGGATATAGCTTGTTTGGCCACCCTAAACCTCAAAACCTAAACCCTAAATCGCGAGCCCACGCACTCTACGTGCGCTCGCCGTGCCAAGGGCCCCGCGTGGGACGCTGGAGAAGTTCCAGAATCCCACTGAGGCTGGCGAAGCCTCCTTTTTTCACTCTCTCTCTCTCTTGCTCTGCCTTCCGCTCTCTCTCTCTCTCTCTGTCGGAAAAGCGCGTGCATTGTATCGGAAGTGTCCAACCGCCAACAGTCCTTGATAGGGATTATAATCCCAATCCGTGAATAAGAGAGTTTAAGAGATTCTCTGAGCAGGCCGAGAGGGAGGAGATGGAGCGGAAGCGGGCGGAAAGGGCGGCGAAGCGGCGAAAGGAGCAGGAACCGGAGGCCCGTCACATGGTTTCGTAGTTTCGGGAGGGGGGGGGGGAGGGGGGGGGGGGGGGGGGGGAGGAGAATTAGCTAGGGCAGCTAGGGTTTTCAAGACGTCGTGGGTTTGGGACCGGGAGGGTTTGGGGATTTGCTTGCCAGCTGACATCAGGCGTCAGGGGTCAAGAAGGTTTTATTGGCCCCTGAGGTTTACGCTAAGTCGGTTGGGGGTTGAACGTCTTGGTCCCATTGCTTTGAATACGCTGCTTCAGAGAAAAGGTCTCAGAGATGTTGACCTGGTTACCCACTCCAGTGGATTTATTTCTCAGATATTACTGATGTAACCTCCACCTGCTCTGTCAGGAGGCCGAGACAGGAGATGGGGACAGCGAGCCGTGAAAGAAAGAGACGCCTGCACAACAGTGTACAGCTCAGCCCATCCAGCTCCCATGCTGATTCGCCCTGCCTGTTGGACGTCGTGGTATGTGTCGCGCATCTAGGTTCGTTTCGCTTTTCAGCTCGCCTAAGCGACCCCAGCTCCGTGACAAGCTGGTGGCTGCTCCTGGGGGTGTGCTGAAGATCGACAGCGCATGCATTGCATGATGCTGAGACTTGCAGTTGCGATGCGCAAAGCTAACCGAGGATTTCATCATCACACCTTCGTACTCGCTCTGTGCCATTGGAAGTTACTAAGGTATAGGTTTTAGGGTTTAGGGTTTAGGGCCTAAAGGGTTCAGGGCCCTATGGGAAGCATGACATACTGCATGAGGGGTGAGCAAAGGGGAGGCCTTGGCTTCCCAAAGTGCGTTCAAAGCGGCTGCTTCGACGTTGCTTCGGCATAGTCGTGATCGTCATAGTCCCCCAAAAACGGGTACCCTAGTCTCAGAACTCCCCCCATATATGAGCATCGGACAAAACCTTTCGAAGAGGTAGCCATGATTAGGGGAGTCATATGGACTTGACAAGTCTGCTCTGCCACGAAAACCGATAGGGGCCGACCCTATTCCATGCGACAGTCAGGACATACTTGAGGTCTGGACCGCTCCTCATATAAGTATATATGTATATGTAGATATGGGGGGTTTCCGAAAATAGGGCTGCCTTCTTGGAGTCCTTGTCCTGAAGAGCTTGAAGTTTACCAGTTCAGTGTTCGTGCTCAAGGTGGGGAAAGCGCCGTGACAGGTTCGAGGCAGTTGTTGTCGTCGAAGGTCACAGAATACCAGAAAGCCAGAGACTTGCGAAACCGTGAAACTCTGTATCCCTAAACCCTAAACCCTAAACCCTAAACCCTCGCTGACAGAGGCATGCTAATCTCTAGCTGCCGCATGCTGGCACCAGCAAGAGCCGCAAGAATCCTCAACCCTATGAAGCCCTATGAAACCCCATGAAACCCTATGAAACCCTATGAAAGCCCTTAAACCCTAAGCCACAACAAATCTCATGGCCCTGAGCCCCCAACACCCAGAAGCCGACTTATCATGGCCTCGTGGCAGCTCCAAGGCCACTTGGAGATTGGGTCCGCGGAGTCTCGGAGTAGGGGGGGCAGAGTTGTAGTGTTGGGGGTTCCGAGAACCCCTTTCATTCAAAACTTCTGGGATGCCATGACTCCTCCCCTGCTGCCTTTAGCCCAATGGCGCTGAAAGAGCTGATCTTGGACAGGCTCAGACAGCTTTCGTTTTGCTGGGGTGCTTAGGTTACCCTCATCCGCAGAGACCGCAATACCCCAAAAATCCAGGAGCCAGGGATCCTAGCATGAATTGCAGAAACATTCCTTACTCGAAGGGCACTTGGGTCGTAGAAACCCACCGCACAATGACAGTTGCTCTCAGCTTCGGGTTTCCAAGTCCGAGGTGCAACGGATGTGCGAGAACAACACGTTGCGCTCATAAGTTTGCAGGGTTTAGGGTTTAGGGTTTAGGGCTTAGGGTTTAGGGTTTAGGGTTAAATATGAAGGCGGGCTTCAAGTGCACTGAGGCTCTCTACGCGTCAACGCAGCTTATGGCTCACTCGCAGAACCCTTGTAGGCCTGTAGGGTCTCAGAGCTGACATGCTGCTGGTGACTTGGCAGCCCAGTGGTGCCCTTTTCCCTTTTTTGTGCTCCAAGGTTCCCTTTAAAAAAGTAGCCAACCCCAAAAAAAGGGCGCCCTTATTCTAATAGTAACAAAAACAGTAGTAGTAATAGTAACAGTAATAGCAATAGTGACAGTAACAGCAATAGTAATAGTAATAGTCATAGTCATAGTAATAGTAATCGTAATGGTAAGAGTAATAGTCATAGTCATAATCATAGTGATAGTAATAGTAGTGGGAATAGTAACAGTAATATGGTTTCTGGGCTACCAAGGTGACCTTGGGGCTCGTGAGCATCATCGCTCCGAAGCTCGCCGCTGGCTTCCTCTCATTCAAGTGTGCGGATCCTTATGGAGACCTGGAAGGCCCCAAGGATATGTTTCTCTTTTTTCCCTAATTATTGGGTTTAGAAAGAGGATCATAGGCCCTTGGGATATTTTTCTCTTTTCCCTTGTTGGGTTTAATGAAGAGGATCAGATCCAGGATGATATTTTCAGAGGGTTTTCATGGCCATCCGAGGAGAGATGGACCTTGATGTGAGGAGTGTCTTAGACATGCAGCTCCACAACGACATGGTCATGGACAACCGCTGGTTGCTCCTATTTGCTTAAGAACCCCAAAAGAATATAAAACATAGTAAATCCCTCTTTTACCCTTACAAGGAAGAACATTTTAAACATTTTTTTGGGGGGGTTCTTAAGCAACTAGAAGGTTGGTAGATCCCGGGACTCCTCGCTGGATGCCCGTCCTTTTCCAGGGCAACTTGCGCTCTCCTGGCAAGCGCGTGCTCTTCGGAGTCGGGGAGTTCCTTTGTCGTAGTTTAGGGTTTAGGGTTTAGGGCTTAGGGCTTAGGGCTTAGGGTTTAGGGGTATCATTTTTACATATTTAAGGGTACTTAAGCCCAAGAAGGACTAGACGCTTGAAGTTTTAATGCTATCCAAACACTGAACTAGGTTCCTCGAGGAAAGCGGTTCGGTCATCCAGCACTATGCCGCCGACTACTCCAGTCGGCCGGAGGCCTCGTGCAAGAGCTCCTGTCGCTTCAGCCTCTCCAGCACATCCAAACTGCCGAAGGCACGGGTTCGCACAGTGCACAAGGAGGGTGGCTTGCAGCTGCAGTTTGAGTCTGAGAAGGGGGAGCTTCTGCTGACCTGCCCCAGTGCAAACCCAGAGAACAATGAGCTCTGAGCGGGCATTGCTTTCGAAAAAGAAGAGTTGGCCTCACCACGGACATGCATATACATGCGAGGACCTATAGCGAGCCGAAACTAGATTAACTAGATGACCACCCCAGCAAAATAAACCCTGAACCCTAAACCCTCAACCCTAAACCCTAAACCCTACATCCATGTGCCGTGCGCAGCCTTGAGTTGAGATTGTGACGAGGCCCGGCTTTCGCATTCCAAGATGGCAGCAGGCCTATCCGCGCGCTTAGGGTTTAGGGTTTAGGGGTTTAGGGTTTTGGGGTTTCGGGGTTTAGGGGTTTAGGGGTTTAGGCTTAGGGGTTTAGGGGTTTAGGGTTTAGGGTTCAGGGTTTAGGGTGCCTACATGAGGCGGGCTCCGGGACGTGTTTGATCTGAGGTCCTTATCGAGGAATGTAGTGAAGGTTTATGGGGATCGTGCATGAGGTAGAGGTAGATGATGCTCTGTGATGGCACTTTTTGGGTTTCAACCCTAAACCCTAAACCCTTGACACATTGGTTTGATGTTACCTTGTTTTTGCACTCCTTGAGGATGCAGCATGCAAGGGGGGGTTGGCTCTAACTTTTGGTTTAGGGTTTAGGGTTTAGGGTTTAGGGTTTAGGGCTTATCTACTCTTGCTTAAGAACAGCCCCCCCCCCCCACCAAAAATGAAACAGAACCTGTTCTTCCTTATAAGGGCAACAGTGGGGTTCTGAAGCAAATAGTAGTTATACTTTAAAACGACAATGGATCCTTCAAGCAAGGTTGTCAAGTTTTTGCGGACAACCGAACGGTGTGCCCTGATCTGCGAGACCAGGTTCGCAGCCCCACATGGCGGGCTGAAGTCACTGGCGCGACAGCAGTGCAAGAGAAAACTTGCTGGTTCTGAATAGTGATAGGGTCCTTAAGAGAGGGGGGGCACTTCTTGGGGGGTAGGGTGCCTAGGGAACCTGAGGGAAACTCAGGGAGCCTTAGGGAGTAGTGGGAAGTGTTAGGGACTTCTTGGGCTACATACTCCCCTTGACTCCTCCTCCCTTAAGAACCCTTTAAAATAGGCAATAGGGGAACAATGAATTGCTTTACCTATTTTCCCTCAAAGGTGATTTAGGGATGTAAGTGGGGCTTGATTCCCTACTTCCTTGCAAGACCTTGTCCAGACCCCCCATGAGATGGGCGGTTCTGCTGGTGCCCCTTAAAAAATAGAACGCAACCCTTTAAGCATAAGATGTAAGCGGCTGCTGATGCGAGGTCCCTATAAACCTCCACCATGCTTCTTAAAGTTCTCTGCGGATAACTCCACCTTTGCTGTGACACGGTGTTGCTTCCGGTGTTATCCTCCACGGCCCCCCCACTCCCAAGATTTCGCAAATCGCGCGGCCAAGCTGTCTTGCATGTGTTGCGGGGAGAGCGCAAAGGGATGTAGCAAGCCCCAAAAGGTTTGAAAGAAAAGCCTCCATGCGTCTCCCGAATCCGGAAGAAGATAAGGCCATTAAGTCATGACACCCCGAAGCCGGAACCGGCTGGGGCACGGCCACGGCCCTCCACCAAGGAATTGTTTGGCACACTGGTGCGTGCGTGGGTTTTTGCGGCGCTGCTTGCTAGATCGAGGTCGATGGAAGCAGCCATTTTCCATTTACTTTCATAATTACTGGTCGCCTTCGCGACCGCAAGTGTAGCAATAACGTAGCAAGAACACCTGCGAGCTGAAATATGCTCGCAGTGTTTCTTTCGCCGAACTCTCGGTTGCACTTCGCAACTGCATGGGCTGCATGGGTGTGTGTCCTTACCACCACGTGGGCCTTCAAGACGGGTGATATCCCTATCGAGCTGGTCAAGTCCACGAATTCGACGGCTGCCAAGGAGGCGAATGAGATTATCGCCCAGAATATGGCAGCGGACATGGGGCAAATGAAGCTCATTCCCGACCCAGCACTCAGAACCTCGGTTGGCCCTGGAGGGATATTTTATATTTTCCCTTCTTGGGTTGTACAGGATCATACTCAGGAATATGTTTTTAGAGGGTCTTAAGGGCCATCCTAGGAACGAGCGACAACGCGACAGACGAGGACATCAACGTGACAAGCGAGAATGCGACAAGCGAAAATGAAACCAAAGGCATTGGTGGGCTTGGGAGGAGCGTCGTGACAGTTCCAGAGAAGTTCTGTAAATTTGGATCCCTTTTTTGGGTCACCTATGTAGTACGGCACCTTATAAACACGACCCCCCAAAAAGAGATCCCAGTTCAGAGAACTGCCTATACCTCCTCAATGAGATCATGGCCTACTAAAGTAACACCCTAGATATCTCTCAACCCTAAAGCTTCAAGTTGTGTTCCCCACCTCCGGTCTTCTCATCCGGGAGTCTGCAATCCTAAATTCCTAAACCCTAAACCCTGATCCCTAAACCCTGGTTCCCAAACCCTAAACCTTGCAGGACCCTTGAGTTCATGATGCTGAAGATCACTCAACTTGAGACGCTCGGACGCACCTTTAACCGTCTAACCTCCAGCCCTCATGGACCAGCGTATCCACGACAGGATGCATGGATCATCACCCACAAAGCAAAACAGCCCGATTGTGGGGCACCGAATTCATTGCAGAAAGCAACATGTCAAGTGTCAGCAGATCCGGAGGCCCACAAAGGCCACAAAAGGCCCTGCAGACAGTGATGCCAAGCCCAAAGCCCTACAAAAGCTTGAGAACCTCGTCTTGCAGCATGCGTCCTCGCAGGACGCTTGCCGAGTTGCAGCAGGCCAAGATCACTCAACTCGAAAAGACGGTGAAGGAGCCGTGCAAAACGCGAAGAACCCTTCCCTTGAGCACCCGGAGTGGACGCGGCATTCAACTCTTCCAACTCCCGCAGGTCAGAAACCATGCAGATGGTTAAACACGTCGACCACAGCAGCGCCAGGAGCACCTAAAGGCCGATCACAAGGACAGCGGGGTGACACTGCTGCAGAAGGATCCGGAAGCCGAACTCGAGGACGGGGATGCTGAGGGGTGGCCACGTGGGCTCTGGCATGCCGCATCCCTCACAGAGTGTGCAGAACCTCTGCGAAACACTGGCGCTATAGGAGGCACAAGCCACCCTCCGAGGGGTGCTCAAGAAGCACTCGCACCAGTTCCACAAGCGAGACTGGGTTGCTATAAGTCCCCCCCTCCTTGTCACCTCCATCGCCCGCCCCCCCACATCAGACTCTGATTGTCCTGCGTGGCCAAGGAGAATTCCATCCGCCCGGACAAACCCAGGCACCCGACTCTCCGAAGGCCAAA